GCCTCCATCATCACCCGCGCGGCCGCATTCTAGACCAGTTGGGAGCTCCGGGTGCTCCTCAAGGGGAGCCCCATGTAGAGAGCGTTGCAGTAGTCCAGGCGGGACATGACGAGGGCTTGAGTGACCATGCGTAAGGCATCCCAGTCCAGAAAGGGACACAACTGGCGGATCAGGCGAACCTGATAAAAAGCCCCCCTGGCCACAGGTATGGGATTGTAGCCTCAGTTTCCCCATGCGTTGAGGATCTGTGGAGATCTGTACATTTGGACTTGCAGGTTCTAGATTGCTCCCTCCCCCCTCCCCCGTTAGCTGATTGGCTGACTCTGGGCCAGTCCCTCCCTCTTATTCCAAGATCCAATCAAGTATAATCTAATAGAGAAGGGTTGGACTAAGGACAGGGAAATTTGGATTCCAGTCCCCACCCCAGGTACGGAAGCTCATTGGCTGAATGTGAGCCAGTTCCTCCCTTTCAGCCCAAGACCTATAGGAAGCTGCATAGTGACCTAGATTGTAGAGCTGAAGCAGATAGCAGAAGCCAATCAAGTGTAGTGAGGAAGATGCTGGGCTAGGAGAGGGGAGACCCTCAATCTAGTACTCCTCAGTCATGAAAGCTCATTGGCTGTATGTGGGCCAGTCCAGTCTAACAGCCAATCAGCTGTGGTGGGGAAAGGGTAGTTTAGGGGGTTGGGAGACCCAGGTTCTAGTCCTTCTTCAGCCACCTAAGCTCATTGGCTGACACTGGGCCAGCCCCTCCCTCCTAACCCAAGAGCCAATTAGGTGTTAGTGTGGAGGAGCTGGATCAGGAGGTGGGGAGACCCAAGTTGTAGTAAAAAAAATTGAAACCGGATATTGAAGGCACCCCCCCCAATTTTACACACATCATGTAAAAATGAGTTTTGATCATGTAATTGTGGCATGCACCTTGATTTCTTTACACACGCACACACATAGATTCTCTCTCTCTCACTCACACACACACACAGTTTCTCTCTCACACACATTCTCCTTCACACACAGACTCTCTCACACACATACACAAGCACACATGCACAGAATCTGTCACATACACACAGATTCTCACACACACAAGCCTGTCACACACACAAATGCACATAGACTCAGAAACATATACATAGACTCACAAACACACACACACATGCTCACACTCACACCCATGTACACAGGCACACTCACACCTATTCACAAACACATTCTCTCTCACACAGACTCACACACACAACTTTCACACACATACTCTCATAAACACACACACACAGACTCTCTCTCACACAGACCACACACAGACACATTATAGATGTCTATGTTTCTGAAATATGTGACATTGTTCTCTTGTTTCTGGTGTTTGTTTGTTTGTTTCTTTTTCTTTCTTTCTTTCTTTCTTTCTTTCTTTCTTTCTTTCTTTCTTTCTTTCTTTCTTTGATTCATTCATTCATTCATTCAATTTATATAGCGTTGGCCTTGTCCCCACTTGTCTTTCTGATCAGGACAATGGGAGTGGACGATTCTTGGGGTGAAGAGGAAGACTCCTCAGGACACAATTACTACAACAGCATCCCCGGGAAGCAGCCCCCCTTGGCGGTTGGTGGACTCGCGCTCCATTATGGATCAGCTTCCAGCCACACTCTCTCTCTGGGTTCCTACGCCACCCATTTCAGCCAGGTGACCCCCCCCAAACTCCTTGGCAGGTTCAGCAGGTGTATCCAAGCCTGTTTAGCTCAACTAAAGGGCATCGTCATTTGTTCCGTAACCACGATCTCTTCAGAGGTGGGTTTCAGCAGGTTCTGGGCAGTTCTGGAGAACCGGTAGCGGAAATTTTGAGTAGTTCGGAGAACCAGTAAATACCACCTCTGACTGGACCGCCCCCATCTATTCTCTGCCTCCCAAGTTCCAGCTGATCGGGAGGAAATGGGGATTTTGCAGTATCCTTCCCCCGGAGGGGTGGGAATGGAGATTTTACAGTATCCTTCCCCTGCCCGCCCACCAAGCCAGGCCACACCCACCAAGCCACACCCCACAAAGCCAGGTAAAAAAAAGCACACACTGGAACCGGTCTATTCCATTCCAATCCACCACCCCATCCCATCCCATCCCATCCCATCTGTTCTAAGTCCATGGAACAGAAGGTAAGAAAATCTGTATTGTCTTTTACTAAATCATGCTCAGGAATTTCAGAAAGTATGGTTTTTGTGAATGTCCCAGGCAAATAAATATACATGTCCCAGGAAAATGTTGCAAGATCCAATCTGAGTCGGTCACCAGGACCAAAGGTTTATTCTTCCAAGCTTTCACACTTTGCTGGAGTCCATCATCAGGAAACTTCTCTTGCTCCAGAATATGTACGCTGGGCTGTTCTTTGCATTGTATTTATGTGGCTCCTCCTGGTTGTCTGGAGTTTCTGGTTGTTAATTAGGGCGTTGATGGCTAGTTTGGTAGATGGGTAGCTTTTGTCCGTTGTGAGATATGGAATAGTCCGTTGCAAGGCGAAACTAGTAGGGAATCATACTTGCAAGGTATGTAATCCGTCCTGTTCTTTATTTAATAACACAATATTAAAATTCGAGATCTGCATCTTATACAATCCTGGGCTGTCGTTTTTGCTCACTGACACAAAAAGAGGGTAACGGTTGTATGAACAGGCAGAAATTCTGTCTACTTAATTTCAAGGTAGGATGACTGGGAAAGATTTGCTGGTTAAATTTCTTTCTTTTTTCTTTTTTTTCTTTTCCTTCTCGCTTACTCTTAAAGCACAGGATTCTGAGTAGCAGGGGAAAAAATTCCTTTTGGCAGAGTCTTAATTATGAGCCCAAAGGCATTTGAGATCACACAATTTCCTCCTTTCCTATTTTAGCTCTTCAATTATGGATGAAAATGGTCTCATTTTTAAAAAAACAGCTGTGGGACCCTAATTTCAATATACTGAAATTCTGCCTGGCAGAAGCATCTGCTGCCCGGGGGTGGGGGGGAGGGGGAGGGAGGAAGAAGGGAAGGGGAGGAAAGCCAAGATGGTGGCTACCACCCCCCTTTAAAATGTGCTTATTTCTTATTTATTTACATTTATTGGCTGCCCAACCTATGCGACACACCTAAAAAAATGAACTAGGCTTCAGTCACTCCGTTGTGGTCACCATCTCAACTTTTCTGACCCCTCCCCTTATTCAGGCATTGCTGCTGACTGTGGTCTTCTGATCCCTGATTCCCCCCCCCCCAATTAATAAATAAAACAAACAGCCTGTTCCCTTTACTATTTCTTTATTTGCTCACAACAAGAGCTAAAATAGGAAAGAAGGAAATTGTGTGATCTCAAATGCCTTTGGGCTCATAATTAAGACTCTGCCAAAAGGAATTTTTTTCTCTGCTACTCAGATTCCTGTGCTTTAAAAGTAAGTGAGAAAGAAAAGAAAAGAAAAGAAAGGAAAAGAAAGAAAGAAAGAAAGAAAGAAAGAAAGAAAGAAAGAAAGAAAGAAAGGTATCCCACTTATCTGTTACAGTTTAAAAGTACTCAAAAACTATTTAGAACAAGTTGTTTCTTTATAAAAGCTAAAGGTAAAAGTTCCCCTCACACATATGTGCTAGTCGTTCCTGACTCTAGGGGGCAGTGCTCATCTCCGTTTCAAAGCCAAAGAGCCAGCGCTGTCCGAAGACGTCTCCATGGTCATGTGGCCGGCATGACTAAACGCCAAAGGCGCACAGAACATTGTTACCTTCCCACCAAAGGTGGTCCCTATTTTTCTACTTGCATTTTTTACATGCTTTCAAACTGCTAGGTTGGCAGAAGCTGGGACAAGTAACGGGAGCTCACCCCGTTATGCAGCACTAGGGATTCGAACCGCTGAACTGCCGACCTTTCGATCGACAGGCCTACCGGAAGTTCGGAAAGACCAGAGCCTGGGGAGGCCGTTTTCGCCCTTCCGGAGGCTCGAAGAAAGCCTCCAGAGCCCGGGGAGGGCAAAAACATCCCCCCTCCATGGTGCAGGAGGCCGACTAGGCCACACCCACCATAGCGATGCCCACCCAGCAACTGGGCAGAGAACCCCTTGCTAAAATTTTTGAAGCCCTGTATATTTATATTAAAATACATACACAAGATATTTACAGAAGATATTAAAATATCATTAGCACTGTTCCTCTTGTTTTTGATAAATGATTCAAGAGAGACGAACCATCTCTAATAGCCCAAAACTATTCTATTTGTTAAACAAAAAAAAAAATAAAATGAGATTATGTATGATGTGAGTTTTGTAGCTCTCCAGTATACACTCAAAAATAAATAAAATGTTCCTCAAATTGTGGGGAGCTTTGGTAGCATTTATCTTATCCGTGTGGGAATTTTTTGTTGGTCTTATTTAGATTGAACTGCATGTGAGTGAAGAATATCTTTTACTGAATCATAGAGATTACTGCTGAATTGAGCCCCTCTGTTCGCAAACACATTTGAAGTTAATGTGCTATAAAAACACGGAGAGGCGGTTTGGTGTAGTGGTTAAAGCATCAGGTTAGAAACTGGGAGATGTGAGTTCTAGTCCTGCCTTGGGCACAAAGCCAGGTGGGTGAGCTTTGACCAGTGGTGAAATCCTCTGTGGATTGCCACCAGTTCGCTGCCCACACATGCGCAGTGCATGCCAAAAGCACGCTATGCACGCGCATGTGTGGCACACAGTTTGGCACACAGTGTGTGCCAAACACACGCTTTGCGTGGAAAAAAGGAAGCTTGGGAAGATAAGTAGAACAGCTGTGCCACATGATTTAGCTTTGCTAGAAAGCATGATTTCCTGCTTTCTAGTGAATGTAAACCTCATGGCACAGCTGATCGTCGAAAATACCGATACCAGTAGCTTTTTTAAACTACCGGTTCACCTGAACTGGTAGTTTTTATCACTACCAGTTCGCCCGAACTGGTGCGAACCTGTAGCATTTCACCCCTGCCCTGGACCAGTTATTCTCTCTCAGGCCTAGGAATCAGACAACAGCAAACCACTTCTGAAATCTTGCCAAGAAAATGTAAGGACTTGTCCAGGAAGTTGCCAGAAGCCAAGACTAACTTGAAGGTATGTATAAACACACACAAATAAAAACACAGAATGCCTTTCAACAGCTAGATGTTGGAAAGACAGAACTTCCAACAGAATGCAGGACAGAGCTAATCTTAAAATGTATTTTGCAGCTTCGGTTAATAGGAGATCAATGATGGAGTTAATCAACCTCTGGAGCAAGTTGGGTATGTTTTTTGGTGAGTACTCCATACCATCCCTGGTGCCCTTTGTTCTCTTTTGTAAATGGGACAAGTGGGAATGTAATTGCACAAGAGCAAGTCTTCACATTCTGTGCTGATGTGAATTTAAGATATCCTTTTACATTCTAAGGCACAAGATTCTGGCTGTAGCTTTATAGAATTCTGGCCAGATAAATATTGCACAAATCAAGAAATCTTCGGAATTTTTCAATATGCTGTCTTCAATCTAGAGGAAGGTATTGTGTGGGGAACTAGCCCCTGCCCAACCTTTGAATACAATGACACGATCTTAGTAGAAAAGAAAAGTGATAGACAAGAGGAGCCAACATAAACAAGGGCAAGAGGACTAATAGATTAAAAGAAATCATTGACAGGGATTCTGTACATAAATCACAGACTCCTTTGGCTCATAACGTAACAAATTCTTTTAAAGATGGTCTTGTTTAGTCATTGTATTTCATCACTGTTATTGTAATGGTATGTGGGGAAAACCTTGAGAGACTGAGCCAAGAGACATTGCCTGGGGAATAGTCAAATAACAGACAGTGTAGCTTGCAGCTGGATAGTGGCCAGAGTAAAAAGCTCAAAAGAGACTCTCCCTGGTTTCTTGGGCAATAAAAGAGATGTGGTGGTGGGTGGAGAATTATACTTTTAGTCTTGCAAGATTTGTCAACATCGCACTAAAATTAAATAGAAGTAGCTCATCTGGTCGTAATTCCTGTCTGATTCATCCCGTGAGGCTGACATCAATCTTGCAAGTGTGAAAATACAATTGTTCTCCCCCCTCCTTTACCATCGAAGAAACTAGAGAGGATCTCTTCAGAGCCTCTTGCCCCATCCATTAACCAGTTGTGGGCTATGCTGTCTCTTATCTGACTCTTCCCTAGGCAGCAGCTCTTTGACCAAAGTCTTTCCCACATACCATTGCTGTTATAAGAATAGACACATCATGTTGACCAGGTTCAAGTTGTACAATGATCTTCACTGGATTCCACCCCTTATTGAGAACTTCTTTCTTGACCTTACTTCAACAAATGGCCAATTACATTTTCCATACTTCCGGAGAACATACAGGCATGCTAGTTTTGAGATTATTTTAACATGCCGTAACATTTACATCTTTTTGTTCCCCGCTTAGGCATTTTGAGTTGGTCTGCCTGGATCATGTTAAATGTCCTCCCCATCCCCGTTTCCTCAAGCCCATTAGGAAAAGAGTTCCTCACTGCATTCATGCAAAATGGTTATCCACAAAGGTTCCAGGGAGAATTTAAGCTTCTCATCACAGGTTCCGTTCAGGCCACATCTGTTACTGTCTTCATGAAACAACCTGCGCTGAGGGTAACGGTCATCGCGAACGCTGGAGAAACACTCTCAGTGAAAATCCCATCAGAGGCTGAGATGGTTGGAAGCAACATTTTTGACAATACACTCACCATCCGGGCTGACAATGATATCTCCGTTGTTTCCCTTTCCTACAAACCGCACTCCGCTGGCACCACTATTGTCTATCCCATGGAAAGCTTGGGTACTGAATATTATGTCATGACACCAAATGTGGGTACCGATCGCTACCGAGAATTTGCCATTATAAGCTGGGCAGAACCCACATCAATTGAGGTCTCCCTGAAAGGTCCTGTGACTTTCCAAGGAAAACCCTACTTACGAGGAAGCAAGTTGACCATCTCCCTTCAACCTTATCAGGCTGCTCAGTTCCAAGGCCAAGTGGACCTCTCTGGTACTAAAATAGTCTCCGAGAAACCAGTGGCTGTCTATACTGGACATACATGCGTCTCCAGGCAAATCCAGTGTGATCATGTCCTTGAACAGCTTTTGCCTGTTACTAGCTGGGGTACCAAGTTCATTGTTCCCTCTTTACCTTTTAATACAGAGTATGACATTGTGTATGTTTCTGCTTCCCAAAGCACTCGGGTTGATGTCCAGAATGGACAAATCAAGAATACCAGAATTTTGCAGGCTGCCCGGGTAGTATTTTATGGCATTCAAGGCACAACTGCCATGTCCATCTCAGCTAGTTCTGGCATCCAAGTTATGTTTTTCAGTGACGGTGGCACCTTTGGGAATCTTAAATACGATCCATTCTTCATGGCAATACCTGATATCTCCAGCTACTGCCTGGCCTACAACACCTATAGTAGTGACCAGTTTGAGAACTATGCCCTGATCATTGCCAAATCTTCAGAAATTTCCGGGATCATTGTGGACAGCAGGCCGTTGCCCACTTTGCAATGGCATGTAGTCTCTGGCACCGATTACTCTTGGACTGCTCACAGCTTAGGCCAAACGCAAAATACCATCCACAGAATAGAACATCCCAGCTCCCCTTTTGGGCTGTTGAGTGTCGGGATTGCAAATGGAAAGGCTTGCGGTTCTCCCGCGGTTTGCGCAAATGGTAAGAGGAAATTGCTTCTTCCTTTCTTCATAACCTTGACTGTGTTCACACCAGTGGTGGGTTGCTCCTCCCGGTTTGCACTGGTAGTAAAACCGTTGGGAGGCTCTGCCCACTGACCCTGATGTCATCAAAACACTTCTGCGCATGCGTGTGAGCGAAGCAAGCACACACGCGCAGTCCCATTGCAAATTGGTTGTAAAGGTAAGTAGAACCCACCCCTGGTTCACACAATATGTTTAGCCAGGTGAACAAAAGCCCTAACAGATGCTTTTGGGCAACTTACTAAGCTTGATTAATACATAATTTGGTGGCTTTTTTTTTTTTTTTTGTGGCTTAGAATTATTATTATATGAATCCAATCAGTGGTGAAATGTTGCCGGCTTAACAACCGGTTCGGTAAGCGCTGCTATGCGTGCACTCACGCCAAAGGCGCTTGCGCGAAGAGCTGAAAATGGAGCATTTAGAAGCTCAGCTGCTTACCTTCCAAAACTTTAACCAATGGTTAAGTAGAACAGTGGAGGGTGGGGGATGGAATCAGCTGTGCAGCGCGATTGAGATGAGCTACAAAGCAGGAAATAAAGGACAGGATACAGCGGGGGCAGGGGGGCGGGGCCAACTGATCGTCGGAGCTACCGGTTTGCCCGAACCGGTCCGAACCAACCCAACCAATTTGGTGGGTCTATGTTTTAAAGTATTCTGCAGACATGGGGAATAAATTAATTCAGTAATCAGATTCAATATAGTGTTTTAAGGTTATGTTTCTTTCTTCCTTTAACTGACCTTTGCCTAACCTGATGCCTTCCAGATTATATTCTTGTTATTTATCCTATATGTGGAAGGCTTTTTAATCAACCTGACATATGTTGCATCAGCGTGATGCAATATTATGCAGTACAATAATATTAACTATTGTTGTGACCAGACCCAAGTAGTTAGTATTAAATACAAACAGTTCAAAAACAAACAGACTTTATTAGAACAGCTGAGAATTAACTCATTCTCAGTGTAGTCCAAACTAAATTAAAGCAAATTCTTCAAAACACCATTCCACAGTTTATCACTGACCTTGGGATAGTTAGGCAAACTTCAGAAGCAGCAGACGCCAAAAAGAAATGAATACAGTGAAACAAGAAGCAATTCTCTCAACGGTTGTTTTCCGGCAAAGAGGCCAAGAGCCGTTGCTGGTCTTTTAACCATGGGGAGGGGCCAATCATCTCTTGGCCCTACTCCCGAGTAGTCCTCTCTGCTTTTTCTGCTCCTGCCTTCTGGCAGCTCTTCTCATACGTGCACTAGGAACAGGCTCCTCCTGTTCCTCTGCCTCTCTCCTGTCAGCCTCTGGAGGCTCTGAAGTCCGCACATCACTCCCCGATGGCCCTGGCCCCTTCTCTGCCTCCGATGCAGAGCCTTCATCCAGGCCTTCCCCAGCCTCCAAGACTGGCCCATGTTCTTCCTCAGCCTCATCGCTGTCCAACTCCGCTGGCAGCTTCACAGGCTGCAGGTGGACCACAACAACTATATACTAGGAATGCAGTAGTGGGTTTCAAATCCCGGCGCTACCAGTTCACTATTGGGAATGTGTGGGTGTGCGTGCTCGCTTCTACATATGTGTAGAAGGTTCTGCGCATGCACAGAACATTTTTGATAATATCTGGGCAGGTGGGTGGAGCCTCCCGGTGCCGCCGCTACCAGTTCGCCCAAACCAGGGCAAACTGGTAGCAACCTACCACTACAGGGATGGGTCTATTAACTTTGTACTGTGTCTGCAGGCTTCTAAGAAGTCAACCATTGTTGAAAAAAAGAAGATAAGGTTGGGGAAACATTTGAATTAATCCATCCAACCTCTCCCAGAAATCATTGCTGTGGAATCCCAAAACTGATTTCTCATCTGACAGTTTGGATGTAATTTTCACTCCCAATGTCTCTCTCCCATTAATACAAACAGTGGGGTGGGGGGGGATGCATGGAGGAAATATTTAGAGGATAGCTGAAACAAGAAATATTTTTCATGCAAACTTCATTAGACCAACATATTTCAAGGTCCAAAATGGATATGTCCTCTTTTGCAGTAGTGCTACATTCATGATATTCAAAGCAGTCTCAAAGATGGGTTTCAATGGGATAGAAAGAGGAGGTTAATAGGAAAACTACACCCATTAACATAAATTAATTTATCCTAAGTTCTAAGTGCTTGGAGCGGTGAATCTTTTGAGTTAATCAACAGTGTCATATATTGCTGGGTTCTATTTTCCTCTCTCAGATCCCTGCAGAACGCTCAAGTGCAGGACCAAAGAAGTATGCAAAATACTACAGGATCAAGCAACTTGCATCCATAAGTACACGGGAACCTGTGTGGGCACCACAGCCAAGTATTTCCAGACTTTTGATGGCCTCTTTATGGATTTTAAAGACTCTGGCACATATAGCATTGCACAGTATTGTGGCAGCGACCCAAAGCTTGAGCCCTTCAAGGTTGAAGAGAAGAACAGCAAGATGGACAATCAGGGTGTTTTCAAGCTCCAGCAAATCTGTATCAAAGTGTATGATCACAGTATTACTATTGACAAGGAAGAAGATGTCCGCATAACGGTAGGAACTGCAGCTGATTGGTTTGCATCTGTTTCATTCCTCATTACTTTTTAAAGCATATTATGTTATAAAATGCAAATAGCAACAAAGATAATGAGGGAATGGGGAAAGGTACAAAGTAAAAAGGAAAGGGGAAAAAAAGCAGGGACTTCCAATTTTTTTTCAGTGCTTCTCTCCTTGATCAGTTTGCATCCATTCAGTGGTGGGATTCAAGTAATTTAACAACCGGTTCTCTGCCCTTATGATTTCTTCCAAAAACCAGTTTTCCAAACTGCTCAGAAAGTTAACAACCGGTTCTCCCGAAGTGGTGCGAACTGGCTGAATCCCACGACTGCATCCATTGCTTCTTGTCCTGCCTTCAAGTGCTTTGGAAAATAGGACTCTGCCTCTTTTTTGTGGCAGCCCCTCAAATATTGGAACACTCCTATCATGTCACCCCGAGTCCTTCTTTTCATCAAACTAGACATAGCCAATTCCTGCAACCGGTCTTTGTATGTTTTAGCCTTCACTTAGCTAATTTATTTATTATTTTATTTTATTTTATTTACAAATATTTATATGCCGCCCTTCTCCCAAAGGGCGGCGAACACAAATTTAAAAGCATACAATAATAAAGGAAAATCCTAATTAAAACCAATTTAAAACAAAGACAAATAAATAATAAAACCCGAGAATCAGAATCAGCCCATTTGTTGAAATAGCCAAGTCTTTAGGCCTCGATGGAAGGAGCGGAGATCAAGCGCCGTCCGGAGCTCGGTGGGTAACTCATTCCAGAGGGCAGGAGCGCCCACAGAGAACAAATCATCTTTGTTGCTCTTCTTTGCACTTTCTAGAGTCTCAACATCCTTTTTATATCGTGGTGACCAAAACTGGATGCAGTATTCCATGTGTGGCCTTACCAAGGCATTATAAAGTGGAATTAACACTTCACGTGATCTTGAGTCTATCCGTCTATTAATGCAACCTAGGACTGCGTTGGCTTTTTTGGCGGCTGCAACACACTGCTGGCTCGTATTCAAGTGATGTTAGGAACTGTTAGTTAGGTCTTGTTTCTTTTCCTTTTCTCTTTCTAGGTCAACGGTCTGGAGGTCAACATCCCTACCACGGTGGTAAATGGCAAAGTCAAAATCAGCCAGAGCAACGGACATCTCACCATTGCAACCGATTTTGGCCTTCAGCTATCATTTGACAACAACTGGGCTATTGTGGTGACTCTCCCCAGCAGCTATTATGGAACCACCTGTGGGCTCTGTGGGAACTTCAACGAGGTAAGAACAGATGACATGGTTGATCTTAATGGCACACAAGTGTCCTCCATCATGGCCTGGGCCAGTAAGTGGAAAGTCGATGACCAAGATCCTGCTTGCTCAGATTCCTGTCAAGGAAACTGCTTGGCTTGTGATGACAGCCAGAAGGAGTTTTATGGCAGTGGGAAATATTGTGGAATTATTAGCCATCTTTCAACCGAACTTTTTGGGGCGTGTCATTCTATTGTGGACCCCGCCAGCTACTACAATGACTGCATCAACCGAATGTGTGTAAACCAAAGGGACAATGATGTGCTGTGCCAAGCAGTGGAGGCTTATGCCACGGCCTGTGAAGAACGGGGCATCCTTGTTAACGAATGGAAAAAGTCATCTGGCTGTGGTCAAGACCCAACTGACCACCACACAAACGAGACAATTGATGAAGGTATCTGTACAAAAGTGAACGTTTTGGAACCATTTCCTTTCCATCCAGAGAAATTAGGAGGGTGTTTGTGAGCCCCTTGCCCCACCCAATATGCAGCTGAGGGCTGTGCTGTCTCTTATCTGACTGGTCCTCTGTCAGTGCCTCTTTGCCTGGGCTCCCAATCTCTTTCCCATCGAGGGCCACAGACAGAGGTGGGCTGCACTTACTTTAACAAAGGGTTTGCTGGTTGTGAGCTAGCACGCGCCCCTTTGGGAGAGAAACAGAGCTTCAAACATGGTCCTAATCAACTCAAGCAGCTCCAGTGAGTACAACAGGGGCAGCACAGATCACAGCTGGGCCAGCCAATGAGCCAGAAAGTTAGTTATAAATGGAAAGCACAACACAGGGGTGGGTGGGTGGGCCCAGCCAGCGATCAGACCTAAGGATTTGCCCGAATCCTTGCGACCATGCAGCAGCCCACCACTGGCCAGAGGATGGACTTTGTAATACTTGAAATGTGGCATTTGTAATAGACGATTACAGATTCTCATCTCGGGGGGGAGGGAGGAATCGAGTCTAAGATCCCTGTTCCCATCATCTTGTTGTTGTGACCCAGGCCCAAGTAGGTAATAATCGATGCAAACAGTCCCAAAACAAGCAGACTTTATTAGAACAGCTGAGAATTAACTCATTCTCAGCGTAGTCCAAACTAAATTAAAACAAACTCTTCATAACATAAATTCTTCAGTCTAATCACCAACCTTGGTATAATTAGGCAAACTGCCTAATTATACCAAGATCGTAAAATGGGCAAAACTCACTTAACCACTGTCTTGCTTAGCAACCAAAATTTTTGGGTCAGTTGTGGTCATAAGTCAAGGACTATCTGAATTCCCCCACCCAGCGGTGAAATCCAGCTGGATCTATCAGGCTCATGCGAACCGGTAGGGCCAGTGGCGGGAGGCTCCACCCACTCAACAAGTCATCATTATGTCCTGTTTTTGACCCTCTGTGCATGCGCAGAAGAGGCGTGCGCACTCACATTTCTGAACCGGTAGGAAAGATAAGTGCATTTCACCGCTGCCCCCCACCCCGCCCCGGGAGAGCTTGCCAGCTGAACTGTAGGTCATATTCATAAAGATGGTTTTAAAGACATGGACAACTTCACTTCTGTTCTGATGTCTCTCTTAGGCTTGTCCCCCGCTTTGAAAACAACATTTGCAGTGCTTCTCTGCATCTGGACCAATCTGTGATTTAAATATGTGGTTTATTAATCACAATCCAATATTGCCTACTCTCCCAACAGCTCACATTTGCCCTGAGAACAGCCACTATGAAGCCTGTGGAAATGCTTGCCCAGATACCTGCTCTGAGCCTTCAGCCTCCTCTTTCTGCACACTGAATTGTGTACCAAATTGCCAGTGTAACAGTGGTTATGCCCTGCATGACAGCCGGTGTGTCCCTGTTGAAAGCTGTGGCTGCCTCTACAATGGCGTCCAGTACGAACTGGGAGAAGAATTCTGGGAAGACGAGAACTGCCTTTCCCGCTGCAAGTGTGACCTCAGCCAGGGGACGGTAAACTGCTGGAAGGCCAGTTGTAAGGCCAATCAAAAATGTACCACGGTCAACGGCATGCACCACTGCAAAGGGTCAGCTTACTCCACCTGCATTGGAACTGGAGACCCTCACTATACTACCTTTGATGGGCGGAAGTATGACTTCCAGGGTAGCTGCGTTTATCAGATGGCGGGGATCTGCTCCGAGGACAGCAGTCTCACCCCGTTTTCAGTCATAGTAGAAAACAACAATCGAGGCAATAAGGCTGTGTCCTTTACCAAAGTCGTGACTTTGGAAGTCTACAATATGATCCTCAGCCTGAGCCAAGAGCATCCACGCAAAATCCAGGTAAAAAAAAAAATACTAAAGGATGGAGAAGGTGAAATAAAGGGAAGTGTATGGTTTATTAGGGGTAGAGTGTTGTATGAGTCAGCTATCAAGTTGTCTGACTGCAACTTGATTGCTGTACCCAGACAGAGGTTAGTTAATGTTTAAAATAAAGCCTTCCCTTCCTTCCTTTGCCCTCCTCTCCCCTCCTTCCTTCCTTCCTTCCTTCCTTCCTTCCTTCCTTCCTTCCTTCCTTCCTTCCTTCCTTCCTTCCTTCTTTCCCTTCCTCCTTCCTTCCTTCTTCCCTCCTCCATCTTTTTCTTCTCTCCTCCCTCTTTCCCTCCCTTCCCTTCCTTCCTTCCACCCTCCCTCCCTCCCTCCCACCTCTCCTTCCCTCTTTTCCTTCTTTCCTCCTCCTTCCTTCCCTGTTTTTCTTCTCTCCTCCCTCCCACAGCAGATATTTTCTTCTTTTCAAAATCTTTTCCTTCATTTATTACTACCAGCTTTTTAATTCATCCTAATCTCCTTGAACTTGCTCTTCACTGTTTTTCACTTCTTCCTTCGTTGCACAACCACTATAATATTTCATCTTTGCTATGTGGAGCTACATCTCTCCAATGACCACATCAGCCAAAATGTCAATTGCAGTGACCTTTTTTTAAAAAAAAATCCCAAGAGTTCATTATTTTGGTCCTGAAAATTCCCCATAGACTAGCTGGGAACTGTTTCTAATAAAGGGGACAGGAAACGTTCAGCTCTGGCATCATCACGTCATCTTAAGAAATAACATAAGCAGATCCCTGCATCTACCACACCCTACAGCACCCCTAAGTAATTTTATAAAGCTTAACTTGTCAAAAAAAAGGTTACCTAAATTTACTAACAAAATAACTGAAAATTCACTGAAAAAGACCCTTGGTCTTTCCTGTATTCCAGGTTAATGGAGTCTTGTTGGACCTTCCCTTCTCCTATGAAAATAAATTGAAGGTCTACACCAGTGGGGTCCATGGCTTCATCAAGACAGACTTTGATCTGCGTGTCAGCTTTGACTGGTACAGCTATGCCCGGGTCATCATTCCAAAAACCTATGCCAATGCACTCTGTGGCCTTTGTGGTAATGCCAATCAAGATCCAAGTGATGACCTTCTCACGAAAGAGGGAACGCAAGCAGAGGATGAAATCCAATTTGCAAACAGCTGGCAGGTGAAGGAGGTCCCGGGGTGCTCCACAGGATGTACTACTAACTGTCCAGTCTGTAATGATGAGCAGAAGCAAATCTACAAGGGAGACCAATTCTGTGGCATCCTGATAAAAAAGAACGGACCGTTCAGGCAATGCCATAAAATGATCGATCCAACGTCCTACTTTGACGATTGTGTCTTTGATACCTGTGTGTACAAGGGCCATCGTGATACCCTCTGTGGTGCCATCAGTGCCTACGGAACAGCTTGCCAAGCTCTGGGCGTCCAAGTTAAGCCATGGAGATCAGCTTCTTTCTGCAGTAAGTGCAGGGGTGGGCTTCAAAAATTTTAGCAAGGGGTTCTCTGCCCGGTTGCTGGGTGCGCATGGCCATAGTGGGCGTGGCCTAGTTGACCTCGTGCACCATGGGGGGGCGTTTTTGCCCTTCCCAGGCTCTAGAGGCTTTCCTCGAGCCTCCAGGAGGGTGAAAATAGCCTCCTCAGGCTCTGGAGGCCCTCTGGAGGCCAGAAATGGGCCCATTTCCGGCCTTCCCAAACTTCCAGTAGGCCCGTTTTTCACCCTTCCCAAGCCTCCGTGTGTACCCTGCACTTACCTGCATCCAAAACAGGCAGCATGGGGACTCCTGGGAGGGGAGAGGTTGAGTGGGAGGGGCAGCCAGGAGTGGGATTTGGGGGTTCTCCAAACTGCACAGAATCTTAGCTAGAGGTTCTCCCGAACCCCTGCGAACCCCCAGCAGCCCACCCCTGAGTAAGTGTTATGTTCAGGTATTTTAGCCACAGCCATGTGCTTTTGCGAAACAACTGCTTTTGGCCTTTCTATGATTATTGTTTTCCCAAGGTAGAGAATCCTCCTAGGAGTCAACCACATATTAATGAACCTTCCCTGAAAATATGATTTCAGGAAATATTATTATGGTTTTCATAGCCTTTCAAGCTTGGTGATATATATATTGGCATTTGATAGAATCACAATCATATTAGGAAACAATCAATATAAATCATAAGGATACCGCTTTATGTACCCTGAGAGCATATGCACCAAGACAAATTCCTTGTGTGTCCAATCACACTTGACCAATAAAAAATTCTATTCTATATATAAATTGTAAGGACACAAGCAACAAAGTTACAGTCATGTAGTCATTAAGTGGGAGGAGAGGTGATAGGAACGATGAGAAGATTAATAGTAATAGTAATGCAGACTTGGTGAATAGTTTGACAGTGTTGAGGGAAATATTTGTTTAGTAGAGTGATGGCATTCGGGAAGAAACTGTTCTTGTGTCTAGTTGTTTTGGTGTGCGGTGCTCTAAAACATCGTTTTGAGGGTAGGAGTTGAAACAATTTATGTCCAAGATGCGAGGGGTCTGCAAATATTTTCACAGCCCTCTTTTTGACTTGTGCAGTATACAGGTCCACAATGGAAGGCAAGTTGGTAGCCATTGTTTTTTCTGCAGTTCTAATTATCCTCTGAAGTCTGTGTCTGTCTTGTTGGGTTGCAGAACCAAACCAGACAGTTATAGAGGTGCAGATGACAGACTCAATAATTCCTCTGTAAAAGGTGGTGAACTTATCCTACACACCTTTCTCCTTGTATTTTCTCCCACAACAAAACATGTGAGGTAAATTGAGCTGAGAGAGAGTGACTAGCTCAAGTTCACCCAGATGACTTTCATGCCTAAGGCAGGACTAGAATTTACAGTCTCCCGGTTTCTCGTCTGGTGCCCTAATAACTGGGAGACCATGAGTTCTAGTCTTGTTAGAAGGAAGAGTGAGTTCTACTCCTGTTAGAAGGAAGGTCTAGTGTTTTTCTTCCCCGTTCTTTCTTTCAGGTCTTCCTTGTCCACGTAATTCCCACTACGAACCCTGTGGAAATGGCTGCTCTGCCACTTGTCAGAGTCCCTCAGCTCCAGAAACCTGTAAAGCTCCCTGCGTGGAAGGATGTTTTTGTGACTCTGGATTCATTCTGAGTGGAGATCAATGTGTTCCCATTGCTGAGTGTGGCTGTACGCACCAGGGCAGGTACTACAAGAAGGGAGAGGAGTTCTACCCTACCACCTCTTGCCAGGAGAAGTGTCATTGTATGGACAATGGAGCGATTGAATGCCACCAGTTCTCTTGTGGTGCTTATGAGGTGTGCAGGATGGAAAATGGGATCCAAGGTTGTCATCCTCTAGGATATGGAACCACCACAGCTACTGGTGACCCTCATCACATTTCCTTTGATGGGCAAAGTTTTGATTTCCATGGCTCCTGTACTTACATCCTAGCCAGAGTATGCAGCAAGGATCCCCGATTAGTGCAATTCTCAGTGTTGGTGGAGAATGAGAAGCTTGAAGGTTGGCGTGCATCGACAAGAAAAGTTATAATCTCAGTGCAAGGATATTCCATTGTCCTTGAAAGGGGAATAAAGTGGAAGACCATGGTATGTGTCTGATATATATTAGCGTAATAACAGTGAATAACAGATGCTGATGTTGCCCGCAAATGTAAATATTTCATAGGTATGGCCTAGCTTTTTGCTTATGCCTGCAACTAAGCATGTGTGACTAGAAGTAACATCCTTCATCTAAATCAGGAATGCCCAACTTCGGTTACTTTAAGACTTGTGGACTTCACCTCCCAGAATTCCCTGGCTATCCATGCTGGCTGGGGAATTCTGGGAGGTGAAGTCCATAGAACATAAAGTTTCCAAGGTTGGACACCTCTCATCTAAACTATATCCTATGTCTTTATACAGGTGGATGGAGAGTATTATACATTGCCAATGAGCACCATTGATGGAAAACTTTGGATCACACAAGAAGGGAACAACATCATTGTCCAGTCACCTCTTATTCTCAGAGTCCTCTATGATGCTTCCTCACATGTCCACGTCTCAGTTTCTAGCACGTATCATGGGCACCTGTGTGGCTTGGGTGGCAACTTCAATAGTGACCAGAGTGATGATTTTATGCTGTCTAACGGAAAAATAACTCAAAGCATGGATGAGTTCGGTGCTTCCTGGAAAGTTCCTGGGAACGGTGGTCAATGCTCTGACGGTTGTGGGGAGAACTGCCCCACCTGTCATGCTACCCAGACTGCACCCTATGAAACGGAAAGTTCTTGTGGAATGATCCGATCCAAGACAGGTCCCTTTAAAGCCTGCCACCCATTGGTTAGCCCCGTTGACTACTTCAGATTTTGCCTCCATGACATGTGTTTGGCCAATGGAGCAGGAGATACCTTGTGTCAAAGTCTTCAAGCCTACACGGTTGCATGCCAGCTAGCTGGAGCCAATGTTGGACCTTGGAGATCAACGTCCTTCTGTTGTAAGTTTGAGATACTTAATGATCACTTCTTTTGGGCTGTTGTTTGTCACTATATTTCCAAGGTGATGTCTTTATTCAAGCTCATATTAAAGAGACACCAGAAACACTGTATCTTAGATCTGTGCAAACCAGGTACAATGAGGTGTTCGAAAATATTGGTAGCTCAGGGTTGGGAGGGTGGATTGGATTATGGGAATCCTCCGAGCTTGGTTTTCACTGCAGATGTTTCATTTGTCACCTAAGTAACATTGAAGATGCTACTTAGATGGTAATCAAAGGTCTGCAAGTAAAAACTAAGCTCTTACAACGCAATCAACTTTGGCATGTCGCTTCAAGTATCGGTAGAGATACAACCTGTCTTCAGGCAAAGAGGTTGTAGAAAAAATGCTTTTAATTTTTTTTTAAAAAAAAAGCCTCTGATGATCGCGCAGCTCAGCTGGGCATTGGGGGGGCAGGCAGGGATTTTTGCTACCAGTTGTCCGAACCACCAACTGCCATCGCGACCAGATCAGGCGATCCGGTCCGAACAGGGAGCATTTCACCCCTGGGACAAACCATGATCTGGTTGAATGAGAACAACGCTGAAGTTTAAGTACCCTCTAAATGAATATGATTTGTTTCCATCTTGCTCTTTTCAGCTCTTTCCTGCCCAGCTCACAGTCATTACAAGTTGTGTACTCGATCCTGTGACTTCACATGTGCTGCTTTATCTGCCCCAACTCACTGCACAGGAGAATGTTTTGAAGGCTGCCAGTGTGACAATGGCTACGCCTTTGATGGGGAGGAATGTGTGTCTCTGGATAAGTGCGGATGTGTTTATGAAGGGCGTTACATCAAGGTAGGTGTGATTCATGAAATAAGTTCTTTGTAACTCAACCAGGAAGCTTTCTTTGTGACAGAGCTTGGGAAAAATTGCTCCTAAGTTACGGTATTTGTCGCTGCCATGGTTCAGAAATTGTAAACATGTTGATTTATCTCACTGACAATATTTGGGCAATTACAGTTAGTCCTTGTTTAGTGACATTCAAAGCAGGGGTGGGTTCCACTTATCTTTACTACCGGTTTGCAACAGGAACACGCGCATGCACAGATTATCAGTGATGATGTTGGGGCGGGTGGGTGGAGCCTCTCGCCGCTATTACTACCGGTTCGCAAGAACCGGACTGAACCGGGAGCAACCCGTCACTGATTCAAAGTCACAATGGGCACGTCCAGAGCTACTTATGACCCATTTCTGAAGTTCCAATGGCCACCCCTTCTGTGGTCACGTGATTGCATTTTGGGTGCTTGGCCAACTGGTTTGCATTTATGGCCATTTGTGACCACACTCACATAACCACATAACCACCATTTTTGATTATCTATCTATCTATCTATCTATCTATCTATCTATCTATCTATCTATCTATCTATCTATCTGTCATCTATCTATCTATCTATCTATCTATCTATCTATCTATCTATCATCTATCTATCTATCTATCTATCTATCTATCTATTATCTATCTATCTATCATCTGTCTGTCTGTCTGTCTGTCTGTCTATCTATCTTTGTCAGTTTTCAGCATTTACTTCCGGTTTCTGGCAAAAAATGCCCATTGGAGGAAAATGGATGCTTTAACTTAATGGCCGTGATTGTTTGCTTAGCGACCACCACAAAAAAAGTAATTAAAACAGGTGTAGTCACATGGTGACCTGCTTAACAACTTCCATGACTTTCAACTGTAATTCTGGGCTCAATTACAGGTAGTCCTCAACTTACCACAGTTCGTATAGTGACCGCTCAAAGTTACAACAGCACTGAAAAATATGACCTCTAACCGTTTTTCACAGTTATAATCTTTGCAGCATCCCCATGATCATGTGATCAAATTTAGATGCGTGGCAATTGGTTCATATTTATGACTGGCTTGGTTGCAGCATCTACCTGCTTTTCACACACTTGCTCGCTAATTCACACAGTGAAGCAAGGTGTCTTTGCTTTCGAGCCAGCTTACTATCTAGCCCGCTACTGCCATACACTGTTAGTCTTTTGATTAAACTGGGGTTTTGCATGCCCTGATATATTCATTGAAAAATAATCCAGATGCTAAAAATGCTCAGCTTCTTTTACGCTCCTTCACAACCATTTTATCTCTAATTTATATTTATATGAAGGCTTTTTTTTTTCTTCTTCTTCTTACATTCCAGCCAGTCAGGGATTACATGTTTTGTTTTTTTGTTTTTTTGTTTTTTTTAATTTGATTTATATGCCGCCCTTCTCCAGAGACTCAGGGCGGCTTACAATGCGTTAAGCAATAGCCTTCATTCTTTTGTATATTTATACAAAGTCAGCTTATTGCCCTCACAAACTGAGTCCTCATTTCACCTACCTTAGAAAGGATGGAAGCTGAGTCAACCTTGAGCATTGGAGAGATTCGAACCTGCAGTAATTGCAGGCAGCTGGTCTTAATAACCAGCTTAATAACAGGGTGCCTTAGACCACTGTACTACCAAGGCTCTTTGTTAAAACAATACCTAGCCAATCTGAATTGACTACTTAAAGAGAATGCCACAATGGACATATTCTGGAGTTTTTATGCGTCTGACACAAGGGGGTCAAACTTGATTTCATTGAGAGCCACATCAGGGTTGTGCTTGACCTGGGGGGGGGAGCGGGGGGGGGCATGGCCAGGACAGGTGTGACCAGTTCAACGTCACTCGTGTCAGGGGCACCTGTGGCAGCCTGAGCGCTCTGCCAGCGAAAACAGGCTCCCAGCTCCGTTTTCATCTGCGACGGCCTCCTGCAACCCTCCGCCAGTGAAAACGGAGCTTGGGAAGGCCACATACAGCCCTCCAGAGCTCCATTTTGGCTGGCAGAGGCCCTGTGGGCCAGTCCTTCACTGTTTCCAGGGTGGCACAGCAGGCCGATCTAAGCACCCCGTGGTCTGGATCTGGCTCCTGGGCCTTGAGTTTGACACCCCTGCTCTAACACCATCTGTTCTAGGGATAAAGCAATATTGCTAAATCTAAATCTAATATTTTCCAAGTTACTCAGATAGTCTTTTTTCCCCCACCCCCCCAAAAAACCCCACAGCTTGTATTGATTTTAGATTTCTTAGGTTCAGCCCAGTAGTTGGTTCCTCTTACCTTCGCTACCGGTTTGGAACTGGGAGCGTGCGTGCATGCGCTTCGCTCACGCGCGGCACTTCTGCGCATGCGTGGAGCATCCGTGATGACGTCCGTGTGGGTGGGCGGAGCCTCCCACCGCCGCCACTACTGGTTTGCCCGAACCGGGGCAAACTGGTAGAAACCCACCACTGGTTCAGCCCAAGTTTCTGCTTTTTAATTTATTTTTTTCCCCTCAGTCCTTCTAACAGCCACGTGATCTGTTTTGGAAAAGGTGCTTTTTTTTCTCTATACACCTATCCATTCATCAGTTACCGTGCTCTACCCTAATTGCACAGCAGCTGTTTCAAATTCTGCACCGATATGCACGAACTTTATGAATATGTGATGCTAAATTAGATAATTTTCTCATCCTAGCTAATGGCATTTAAAGTAGGTGTAGCAGCAGCTACTGGTTAGCAAAAATGATCAGTTATGTCACCCACCATGCTTTCAAAATCAGGGATAATAATAAACCCTTTTTCAGAAGAGAAAGGCTTAAATTAGATTTCATGACACGTAAGAGGGTCATAATAGAAATTTAATGTTACAGGGAGTCCTTGACTTTTTTTTTTTTTTAATTTGATTTATATGCCGCCCTTCTCCGAAGACTCAGGGCGGCTTACAATGCGCTAAGCAATAGCCTTCATCCTTTTGTATATTTTTATACAAAGTCAGCTTATTGCCCCCACAAACTGGGTCCTCAATTTACCTACCTTAGAAAGGATGGAAGGCTGAGTCAACCTTGAGCCTTGGCGAGATTCGAACCTGCAGTAATTGCAGGCAGCTGGTCTTAATAACCAGCTTAATAACAGGGTGCCTTAAACCCCTGTACTACCAAGACTTACCATTCATTTAGCGACCGTTTGAAGTTACAGCACTGAAAAACGACCGTTTTTCATAGTATCCCCATAGTCACATGATCAAAATTTAACTCTTGGAAACTGGCATGTATTTATGACGGTTGCAGGGTCCCAGGGTCATGTGATCACCTTTTGTGGCTTTCTGACAAGGAAAGCCAATGGGAAGCCAGATTCACTTAATAATCAGGTTACTAATTTCACCACTGCGGTGTTTTACTTAACAACGGTGGCAAGAAAGGTCTTAAAATGGGGCAAAATTCACTTAACGGTCTTGCTTAGCAACACAGATTTTGGCCTCGGTTGTGGTTGTAAATCAAGGACTGGTTACCTGTGATTTATTTTGGTTGACTTTAGAATAGAACAGAACAGAACAGAACAGAACAGAACAGAACAGAACAGAATTTTAGAATAGAAGTTTGGAATAGAATAGAATAGAATAGAATGGAATGAAATGGAATGGAATGGAATGGAATAGAATAGAATAGAATAGAATAGAATAGAATAGAATAGAATAGAATAGAATAGAATAGAATAGAATAGAATAGAATAGAATAACAGAGTTGGAAGGGACCTTGGAGGTCTTCCAGTCCAACCCCCTGCTTAGGCAGGAAACCCTATGGCACTTCAGACAAATGGTTATCCAACATCTTCTTAAAAACTTCCAGTGTTGGAACACTCACAAATTCTGGAGTCAAGTTGTTCTACTGATTAATTGTTCTAAACTGTCAGGAAATTTCTCCTTAGTTCTGTCAAGGACCTAGGAGGACTTATCTCAAACGATCTAAGCCCCAGAGCTCACTGTAACAGCATTGCCAAAAAGGCATTAAGAGTTGTTAACCTTATTTTGCGAAGCTTCTTCTCTGGTAACATTGAATTGTTAACTAGGGCATACAAAACCTTTGCCAGACCAATTCTCGAATACAGCTCATCTGCCTGGAATCCATACTGTATATTGGACATTAATACGATTGAGCGGGTCCAGAGGTATTTCACGAGAAGAGTGCTCCACTCCTCTACTCACAATAGAATCCCTTATGCCACCAGGCTTGAAATTTTGGGCTTGGACAATCTGGAACTGCGCCGCCTGCGGTCTGATCTCAGCATAGTACACAAAATTGTCTGCTACAACGTCTTACCTGTCATCGACTTCTTCAGCTTCAACTTCAATAATACACGGGCAAACAATTGATACAAACTGAAGGTAAACCGCTCCAAACTCGATTGCAGAAAATAAGACTTCAGCAACAGAGTGGTCAACGCCTGGAATGTTCTACCCGACTCCATTGTTACAGCTTCAAACCCTCACAGCTTCAACCTTAGACTGTCTACCGTGGACCTCACCCCATTCCTAAGAGGTCCGTAAAGAGGGCGTGCATAAGCGCACCAGTGTGACTACCGTCCCAGTCTTACTGTCCCCATTTATCTGTACTTACTTCCTTTGTTCATGTTTAGGTTCATACTTATCCTTGCTACCTTGTACATGTTTGACAAACAAATAAATAAAATAAAAAAATAAATAATAGTTCTAGGTTGCTTCTCTCCTTGATTAGTTTCCACCCGTTGCTTCTTGTCCTGCCTTCAGGTCCTTTGGAGAATAGCTTGTCTCCCTCTTCTTTGTGGCAGCCCCTGAGATATTGGAACACTTCTATCATGTCTCCCCTAGTCCTTCTTTTCATCAGATTAGTCATACCCAGTTCCTGCAACTGTTTTTCATATGTTTTAGCCTCCAGTCCCCAAATCATCACATAATATCGTTCAAATGCTTATTCCGCAAGTATCATTCACTAGCAGTTAAAAACTGCTAGTGAATGATTAACTGCTAGCAGTTAAAAACTGCTAGTGGACATACCTTTTTCAGGTTGTTACTCTGTCTTTCAGTGGAGTAACTAGAGATTGAATTAATCCCATGGCTTCTATTCCGTGGGTTCACCTAATGAAAGCAGGAACCACCGTTCAGAGCAATATACTCTGTATTCTGTTTCCTGGCTTTGATCTGATGAATCAGAGCAGCCAATGCATGTCCAGCAAAAAAATAAATAAAAAAAAAATGGCCTTGTCCCAGACTGTATAAGCATTTGGAGTTAAATTGCTACCATTAGCCCCATTTGCCAAACAAATGGCAATATTATAAAGAAACATATTTCTTTACAATATTGCCATTTGTTTGTCTTTGTTTATTCTGTTGCATGCATGATTTCCTTGGTAGATATAAAGTAATTTTTCACCAGAGGATTTTGTGTGTGTGTGTGTGTGTGTGTCTGTGTGTGTGCATGTGTGTAATTGCTCTCCAGGCAGGGGAGACTCTCCTCTCCAATGACTGCTCCGAGAAGAACACTTGCCACCCATCTAACCAACTCATCCGTGTCAAGAACCACTGTGCTGCGGGAGAGACGTGTATGCTCACAGCCAAAGGGTACGGCTGCGTAAGGCAGGAAGGCCGCTGCACTCTCAGCCCAGAAACGTGGTTCAGCTCCTTTGATGGAGTCCAAGGGAAGCTTATCACCAGTGGTGTTTACAAGCTGGCATCCTATTGCGATGAGGACTCGCCTACCTGGTTTAAACTGGTGGTGGATATCAATGATTGCGACGATCACCTGGTGCCCGCTGCTACCGCCATCTACGTCTTCTTCCGGGAAGCATTCATCACGGTGACCAACTTCAAGGAGACTTGGGTAAGCTGTTGCCCACCACGGGTCACGTAATCTCCATTTGCATCTTTCTTGGCTGGTTCTCAATGAGCAAAGTCAACGGGGGAAGCTACAGTAGTGGCCAAAATTGTGGAAACCTTTTGGGAAAAGTGTATTTTCTAAAACTAACTAATAACACCACTTTTTTGGGGGGGGGAGTAGTACCATCAAAGTAGATATCAATGGAAAGACAATTGAATCAAGAATGTAATGCAATAACTTTTATGAAGGATTTGCTATTAGAATAGCAGTTATAAAGAAGAAAAGTGAAACGAGTTGTACAAAAATTATCACCGTACAAAAAACGAGATATACAAAAATTACCACCATGTCAGTTAATACTTAGTTGGGTAACCTTTAGCATGAATTACGGCCTTACAACGTCTTCCCATGGAGCGAACCAAGTCTTTTAGTTCTGCAGCTGTTATAATGTGAAACCAAGATTGAATGATTGCTTCTATTAACTGGGTTTTATTGCTGGGTCGCTTCTGACTAACAAGTTTCTTTAGTCGGCTCCCTAGATTTTCAATTGGCTTAAGGTCTGGGCTATTCCCAGGCCATTCCAGCAGTGGAATATGATTATCTTGAAATGCCAAAAAAAAAAAAAAAAAGTGGTGTTATTAGCCATCAAACCTCAAAAATACACTTTTCCCAAAAGGTTTATACAATTTTGGCCACTACTGTAGATTGGCTTAATGCTTTCATGATTCACTTAAGAACTTCAGTGATTTGCTGAAAAAGCACTGCAGAAAAGGTGGTAAAACTGGGTGCAACACCCAATGACCATCTCACTTAGCAACTAAATTCTGGTCCCAATTGTGGCCATAAATTGAAGACTAGTACCTATACTCAAGTCCACGACCCACAATAGCAGAGTCTGGAGCCCAAGAATCCTCACATTCCATGTCTCCATTGCTTTCCTTTCAGGTCAATGGACTCTTGGTCCAGTTGCCCCACACCATCTCTTCGGCCATCTCTATCACTGAAGCTCAGGACAGCATCGTCATCAATCAAAACTCCCAGCTACAGATTCTCTACAGTCCCAATGGGAAAATAACCGTGAAGGTCACCAGCAACCTGGCAGGGAAGTTATGTGCCCCTTGTGGGAACTTCAACAACGACACTTCGGATGACTTAAAGCTGCCTAATGATCAGATGGCAGATAACATCGCTGAGGTTGTCGATGCTTGGAAGGCCAGAGATTTCTTAGGATGGTAAGTAATGCTATTTGCAGTTTATGACAGTTTTAAAATATCCAGACTTTGTTGGAGAAACTATATCATCAGGATAGCCCTCAACTTATGACCGTAATTGTGCCCACAATTACGGTCATAAGTTATGCCAGTTGCTAATTGGGTCACCATGAGACAGTATCTGACATTACAATCTTTTAGTAGCGGTTGTAAAGCAAGGCCATTAAGCAACTCTATTGTCCGCAATCGGCATTTTTTTTTGCTAGAAATGGGAAGAAAATGTCAAATTGCCATCACGTGACTGTGGAGCACTGCTAATGGCCATATGTCAAGGTTCCGACTAACGAACCCAAGTAAATCACAACTCTGAGACTGGAATCTTCCTCATAGGACAGTTGCTGAGTGCCAAGACATGATCATGTTCCAATTCCTTCTACAGAGGAATTATTGAGTCTGTCATCTACACCTCTATATCTGTCTGGTTTGGTTCTGCAACCCAACAAGACAGACACAGACTTCAGAAGATAATTAGAACTGCAGAAAAACAATTCCTACCAACTTGCCTGACATTGAGGACCTGTATATTGCACGAGTCAAAAAAAAAAAAGGCTGTGAAAATATTTACAGACCCCTCACATCTTGGACATAAATTGTTTCAACTCCTACCCTCAAAACGACGCTATAGAGCACTGCACACCAGAACAACTAGACACAAAAACAGTTTTTTCCTGAACACCATCACTCTGCTTAACAAATAATTCCCTCAACACTGTCAAACTATTCACTAAGTCTGCATTACTATTTTATTTATTTATTTATTTATTTATTTATTTATTTATTTATTTATTTATTTATTTATTTATTTATTTATTTATTTATTTATTCAATTTGTATACCGCCCTACTCCGAAGGACTCAGGGCGGTGAACAGCCATAGAATAAAACATATGAGTACAAAATTTAAAATAAAGTAAAACGAATTAAATAATTTGGCTGAAAATTTAAAACCCCAATAATTTAAGACCAAATTTAAAATTTCCATTTAAAAAGGGGGAAAACTTAGGTCAACTATTACTATTAATCTTCTCATCGTTCCTATCACCCACCTTCTCCCACTTATGACTGCATGACTGTAACTTTGTTGCTTTTGTCCTTACAATTTATACTGATTGTTTCCTAGTAGGATTCGATTGCTTATTTGTACCCTTATGGCTATCATTAAGTGTTGTACCTTATGATTCTTGACAAATGTATCTTTTCTTTTTATGTACACTGAGAGCATATGCACCAAAGACAAATTCCTTGTGTGTCCAATCACACTTGGCCAATAAAGAATACTATTATCTATTATCTATGTGACTACAGGGAGATGCCCTTAGCTGTCAGAATTTCAAATTCAGGTTGTAAGTAGTCCTGGGAAGGTCTGTCGTAAATTGGAACAGTTCCCTAAGCAACCGGTCGTAAGTCAAGAAGCACTTGTGGTTTTGTATCATCTAAACCCACTATTGATCACTTCTTGCAATGATTAAACAGCAGTGAAGAATTTCTATTCCTGTACTTAGTCTTCCAAAATAGGAAATATGCAGGCTCAGATTGAACCTTCATAGTGAACTGGTGAAAAGAGACTTCCAAGAACTCCTTGAAGTTAGCTCTATATAGCAACAGCAAAACAAAACAGAACAGAATAACAGAGTTGGAAGGGACCTTGTAGGTCATCTAATCCAACCCCCACTCAAACAGGAGACCCTACGCATTTTCTGACAAATAGCAGTCCAATCTCTTCTTGAAAATCTCCAGTGATGAAGCTACCACAACTTCTAAAGGCAAACTGTTCCATTGTTTGAGTGTTCTCACTGTCAGAAAATTTCTCCTTATTTCTAGGTTGAATCTCTCGTTGATCAGTTTCTATCCATTATTCCTTGTCTGGCCTTTGGGTGCTTTGGAAAATAGCTTGACCCCCTCCTCTCTGTGGCAGTCCCTCAAATATTGAAACACTGCTATCATGTCTCCCCTGGTCCTTCTCTTCACTATCACTATCACTTAGACTTATATACCGCTTCATAGTGCTTTAAAGCCCTCTCTGAGCAGTTTACAGAATCAGCAACAATCTGGGTCCTCATTTTACCGACCTTGGAAGGATGGAAGTCTGAATCAACCTTGAGCCGGTCTGAATCGAACTACTGGCTATGGGCAGAATTAGCCTGCAATTCTGCATTCTAACCACTGTGCCATAACTTTGTCTTCTGCTTCTTTCCACAGTTACTAATTCCCAAGAGAACTGATGCTGTTTTGAATGGTAAGTGATTCTCCAAATTAGAAGTTGCTCCATCATGGATATAATCTGAATTACAGAGATATCGTATCTGAATCATCAGATTTTGGGCTTGATTTTTCCTCCTTAAGTCTTCTTCAAACAAAAGATGATGGAATGGGTAGCAGGAGATACCCAGGAGAATACATTTGGTGTTTGATATATTAATATGCAATCAATTATTAAGTCCGGTAGTCAAGAATAGAATCCCCATATGAAATAGTAGCATATAATAAGCAGATTGCTATCATCTTAATGGCCTGTAGACTCCCATAAGCATCTGTCTGTCTACTGTAAGAACTACAAGAACCTTTTATCATAAGCTTTATCTTCAACAGGGCAAATTGCTTTGTGAATGCCAGTGGGAACTCCGCATCTGGTACCCCACTGGCATACTCAGAACCCAAAATGTGCAAAGCTATTGCTTTTAGCAAGCAAGCATTATAAATTAATACACACGCTATAAATCCTTTGATATCGTTGATATATTTATGCAAACTCATTTTCTTAAGTACTTCTGAATGTATTTGTGTGAAGTATCTCCACACACATATGCAATATTTAAAGGAGAAGAGGGGATTACGTTATATCCGGGATGGAAGTAACACCGATGGTTCAAAATGAACAACTGTGTTACCATATGCCATATCCATTGCTGAGGAATATGCATTCGTCCATAATGTGATTTCATTGGACACTAGCTTAATCTTTCTAAACATGGTGGGAGAAAACTCAGGCAAATACAACATTCCCCAGAATCCTCTTCTTTCTTTCTTGTATTGTAGGGGTAGTGTTCACATAAAACCCTTAGCTTAGTGGTGGGATTCAGCCAGTTCGGGCCAGTTCGGGTGAACCAGTTGTTAAAATGCTGGCTGGCTCTGCCCCTCCCCTTCCAGGAGTCTCCACGTGCCCCATTTTTGCTCCAAGGAGGCTGCAGGGAGGCCTACTAGGCCCAAAATGGGGCGTGGGGGAAGGGGTAACACAGCGCGACCTGCTTTTGCTCCCAGGAGGCTGCAGGGAGGTCTACTAGGCCCAAAACAGGGCATGGGGGGGTGATGTGCCCCCCGCTGCCCGTTTTTGCTCCTGGGGAGTGCAGGAGGCCGAGTGCTGCCTGTTACACACCCCTGGCTATGCCCATCATGGCCATGCCCACCCAGCCGGTCATTAGGGCAGAGAACCGGTTGCTAAATTAGTTGAATCCCACCACTGCCTTAGCCTGGTGCTTGGTGCAAAACAGTGGTTGGTTTCAAAAAATTTTACTACCGGTTCTGTGGGGTGGCTTGGTGGGCATGGTAGGGGAACGATACTGTAAAATCTCCATTCCCTCCCCAATCCAGGGGAAGGTTACTGCAAAATCCCCATTTCCTCCCGATCAGCTGGGACTTGGGAGGCCGAGAATAGATGGGGGCGGGGCCAGACAGAATTTTTACTACCAGTTCTCCGAACTACTCAAAATTTCCGCTACCAGTTCTCCAGAACTGGTCAGAATGTGCTGAAACCCACCTCTGGTGCAAACCTAGTTTTTTTTTTTTTCCCATCAGCACAACATTCTCAGTTAGATCAGACTGGGTGGGAGCCAGCCATAATTTTGTAGCATTAAATCCTCTTTCTTTCCCAATAGATTGCTTCCCGTTCTAAGGACAGGCCGGCTGTGATCCCTCCCTTGCCACGAGGCCTCTTCAGATGTCACTTACTAGGAAGGAACCTCAACGGAGCATGACAGAACAATATTTACTCCCTCCCCACTACTCAGAAAGTGTCTACTACCCGATTCCACCGCCATTTACTGACTCATCCTGAAACTGTGACCAAAGTCCCTTGCCACCAACTTTACTATCAGAGTTATGTGCTTTTGTGCAGAGAACATTGTGGACGGACATAGAACTATTTATAGCAAGAGAAGGCTAGGCATCTTTTTACCACTTAATGACATTTCTAGAATGGGGTGAATAATAGCCAGAATCAGACTCAATGCCTTTATTCACCAATCTCTCTCTCTCTCTCTCTCTCTCTCTCTCTCTCTCTCTCTCTCTCTCTCTCTCTCTCTCACACACACACACACACACACACACACACACACACACACCACATCTTGGAAAGCACCAATACCATCAGCTCAATCTTGTCACACTCTTCTCTTCTCACTATGTAGGTGGAATGCCTTTAAAAGGTGTTTTCTGTGTCAGATATGTATTTACCTTGGCACACCCAATGTTTATCGGATGTTCATCTCTGGATTAGGGCACTTTACACTTCCCAATCCTTGATAAAGCAGTTTAAATGCAACAGGAACAAGGGAATCAGTAAGGAACACCAAAAGTGATCGGAGCCCAAATTTCAGCAGACCAATAACAAAAAAATAAAGAACAACATCCAGTGAGTATCCTGCCTCCTCTGTACTATCAAAAATGGTGGGGTAACAAAATCCTTATCCACCCCATGTGTCATACAAATGGAAATAAAACAATCAGTGTGCTTGATCCATTGATCATGGTTTGGAAAACATCTGAGCAGTTACTATGAGGAAAAGCTTTCAGTTCCAAACTACCATTCCAATGAAACATTTAAAAGTCATGAAGGTGAAATTATAATATGTTATCAGCCATACTGATTTCTTCCCAAAAGTTGTCACAAAGGTTTATTGGATGGAAGGACAGAAAAATCAAAACAATGCATATGTACAAGCGTCAGGAACAAAAATGTTCCAAAAATTGAACCATTTACACAGCTTAAATTTCATTTCATCAGTTGTTTCCAAAGCAGCAATTCTTAATTCTTTTAATGACTCCTTTGCTATCAGCTATTAATTACTGAGCTGTGTGGTGTCAAAATTCTGGTCCAGAGGAAATACTTTATTTCAATTTTTAGACCTTATAAACTAGAAAGCACAATTTATCTCTTTATCGTGCCTTAATATTTTTTTTAAAGAAATCTAATCAGCAGCCTTGCATGATTTCAGCCCCAGGATGCTATCTGTGGACAGAATGACTTCTCCAGAAACAATTCTGCAGGTATAGAGATAGATAGATAGATATTTTATTGACACAGTTTGGGGTTTTTATAATGCCTTCTTGGGGCACTGCAGATAAAGCATCTTTAAGGGCACAGCAGCAGAGAGCCATGGTCACTTGTGGAGGTTGATGGACTGGATCGACCTTTTGAATTATTGCTTGCTAGAAAAGAGAAAGAAAAAATAAATTGGATTATTATCGACTCCATAGCCACAGTTGCTTTCTTGCTATAAGTGATATTCAAGAGGGTTAATATTGGTAAGAACCCAGTTAAAGCATCTAAGCAGCCAAAACAGCTTACAAACCCAAAGCCAACCTGAATAAAAAAATATCTTAAAACAAGACAAAAAGCTACTGGAAATCCACTTTCTTTGGGACGATGGTGCTGAGGTGATCTTGGCCTCAGTTAGCACCCAGTGTTGTGATCTAGGCTTTGTGAGACAGTAAAAAGCACACAATTAGTCCCAAGAACCCTCTTTTATTTCAACGGCTGTGAATTCTGTTCATTCACAGCCCGTAATGAGTCACAAATAGTTTGTAAAGAGTCTGAAAGAAGTCTGCCACAGTCCTTCGGGATAAGGCTGATAAGCACCCACCTTTATCTCCCTGGACATGCTGCCAAAGGCCTAACTGGCAATTAGCTTTGCAAGGTCATATGGAGCACAGAGTCAAAACTCAGCTTCAGAATTTAAACCAACCAGAATGAACAAAATTGCTTCCTGCAAAGGCTCATGTGCTTTTGCTCCTCCTTTATGTCTTATGGGAGGGGCCAATCATCTCCAAGCTCTACTCCCGAGTCGTCACTTTTGTTTTAACTGTTCTTGCCTTCTGGCAGCTCTGTGCATGCGCACACTGGGAACAGGCTCCCCCTGTTCCTCTGCCTCGCTGATGTCTGACTCTGGAGGCTCCGGAGGCAGCACATAACTCCCAGATGGCCTTGGCCCACTCTCTGCCTCTGACGCAGAGCCCTCGTCCGAGCCTTCCTCAGACTCCAGGACTGGCCCATGTTCCTCCCCAACCTCCTCACTGTCTGACTCTACTGCCAGCTCCACAGGCAGCCGCGGACCACAATACCTACATCCTAAATTTTAAAAAGAAAGCACCCACAATTTCCCCCCCCCCCCCCCTCTAAGAGCAACACCAAAGAAAAAAAAAGGAAACCAGAACAAGAAGATCAAGCGTGGAACAGTATTTAATGGAGATTTTGAAAAATATGGAGATTGCTAGACTTAGACTCATTGAGTATTATATCGAACCGTATTGATTTGACCATGGATGGCTGCTTCAATGCCATCAAAAGAAAAAAAAAATCCATGCCTCCTATATGCAGATCGACACTTTGAATTTAAGGCAGTTTCAAGCTTATTTAAACATCATTTGCTCTGGGCCCAGAAACTTACACTTTAATGCATTTGAATCTGCGGTATCTCATTTCCTATACCATATTACATACGCTCCTGGGTTATTGGAGAGCTCATTACAATTAGACTCATTGGTTTACATTTTTAGCATTGTTGTAGGCTCTTTGTGGATTTCTGGGGTGACAGGCTGCCTTCTGGCTATTTCTAATTGAAAAGATTGGTCTACCGCTGCAAGTAAATTGGATAGGAAAACTGCCTCCCTTTCAGCTAAGTTTTGAAAGCCCTTGCAAATAAATCTCTATCTCTATCCTCTTTGTCTACATCTCTATCTATCAATCATCTCTATCCCTGTCTATCTCCATTGCTATCTCTATCATCTCTATCTATCTCTGTCTTCATGGCTATCTCTATCATCTCTATTATTTCTCATCTATATCATTTCTCTATCATCTCTATCTCTCATCTCTGTCTCTCCATCAACTTTATCTCTCATCTCTCTCTCATCTCTCTCTCCTCTATCTTCTATTTTCTATCTCTATCTTCTATCTCTATTTCCTATCTCTGGCTCCTGGCCTTTTGCATGAAGACAGCTACTGGATAGGGAGAGCAGGAAAAAAAAAGTGAGAGAAAGATTGCCCCAAAGAGAGACAAATAGTTTTCTCTATTCATATTTCATTTTGCCCACGCCAACCTCTATTTTTCGCTCTGATAGCATGCATTCTTAACAGATTGTCCCAATGGGAACACAGTTCTGGACAAGGAAAAAAAAAACACCACTCCAGCTGTGCACTCCTAAATCAGAGAATAAATGACTAAAGCTTTAACTTACCAGTGGATGAAGTCTGTGGCCTTCCATGCATCAATCACCTCAGAAATGTCTCCTACAACTTGTCCATCGGGTAGCGTGAGGTCATCAGAGAGGTCACCATTGAAGTTTCTGCAGGATCCACACAGCTTGCCTGCCAGGCTGTCTTTGACCTTCACGGACACTTCTCCTTTGAGGTCAAAGACAACCTGAAGAGCTGTCCCATGTCTAATTGTGACAACATCTTCGGCAATGCTCACAGACACGGTTTTAAAAAGGGAAGCTGGAAGTTTCACCTTTTTTCCATTCACCTGAACAGAAAGTGATCGTGGGATATGTTAAGTTTATTGAAATGCTACATCTTCAAATGAGGGTCAGAATTCAAAACTGGGGGAAATGGTCTAATCAGAGCAGGTGATAGCAAAATTAGCCAGAATTGCCCTTGTGTTTGTTTTAGAGGTAAAAGATAAGTGGAAAGGAGGACATTAATTGTATGAAATTAAAAATGGCTTCCCTGTACAAATTTCTATCTGAAAATACAGAAGATTTAATTCATTTTTCTTTGTTAATACCCGTTAACCAATACACTGAATTCACAGTGGGTCTTTAAACCATTTCTGTTAATATTTAGTGGAAAATTGAAAGGAAGGTTTAACTCAGGGATGGGGTGATTATGATCCCACAGATTCCCTTTTCAGTCACTTTCAGAACCCCTGTGATTATGAATGCTGTTTTGTGACAGAAAGTAACATAAAAATGATGTGTGAGTCCTAAAATAAACACAATACAGTTTTAAAACAAAGCACGCCTTCAAAATTCCTCCCCTCAAAAAAACGAAACAAAAAACCGGGGAGGGGGGGGCAAACTAGAACTGGGCACAATTAGACCTTCCAGAATTTTCCATCAAATTTACAGGCAGAAATTGAGTGGATAATTAACTTTCTTCACAACAAGGCAAAGTCTTTGGGGCAAGCCTTCCCCTGAGCAGTAAAAATAGTGTGACAGTAGAAAGTACTTGTTTTTGAAGTAAGATTGTTCTTTTCTTCAGGTAGACATAATGATTGGAAAGTATCATTTACCAAGCGTGCCATGGAATATTCTTTTAATTGTTGGGTTTTAGTCTTTATACACCACCCGGAGTCACTGTGGTGAGATGGGTGGCCGTATAAACAATTTAAAGAAATGAAATAAATACTGATAGTCCTCCATTTATGACCACAATTATGCCTGATTCTCTCTATGATCCTTTTTCTGCTTTTAGTTGTTAAGTGAATCATGTGGTTGTTAAGCAAATCTGGCCATACCCGTTGATTTTGCCTGGAGGCAGCTGGCTATGAAGGTCAAGAATGGTGATCATGTGACCCTGTAACTATCGCCAATATATATCAATTGCCAAGTATCTGAATTTTGATCACATGACTATGGGGATATTGCAATGGTGGCAAATATGATTAGAGGTTGTAAGTCACTTTTTTCAGTGCCATTGTAACTTTGAACAGTCGCTAAACGAGTGGTTGTAAGTTGAGCACCACCTCTAATAGCCTACCGTGTACACATTGGGACAAAATTCAAATTCAGTTAGGCATTGTTTCTCAACCATGGCAGCTTTAAGATATGTGGACTTCAACTCCCAGAATTCCCCAGCCAGCATGGGGAATTCTGGGAGTTGAAGTCCACATACCTTAAAGCTTCCATGGTTGAGAAACACTGCATTAAGGTGTTTAACTCCACCACACGTTTCCTTTGTTTACAGCACCAAGAATCACCAACTCAACCTTTCTTACCCAAACTTCCTTGTCTTGATTGACAGCAAGAACAGCCTCTTGGAAGAAGATGTAGATGGCCGAAACTGAGCTCATTTTTCCATTGCAGCCCCTGAAATCCACTACCAGTCGAAACCACATCTGGGCTGCTTCGTCACAGAGAGAGGCCATCACATAGGCACCGTCATAAAGTATTGTCCCAGAGACGCCATCAAAGGTGGTCAGTTCTGCTTCTAAACTGAGGTGGCATTCCGCTTCCTGCTTGAAGCAACCATGTCGGCCATTTTGAAGGGTGCAAACCTTCCCTTGGGGGCAGCTGGTTTTATTGCAGGTGAGCTGGCCTGACGCATGGCAGGTGCAATTTTCCGAACAACCCTCGGAGAGAACGCTTTCTTCAGCCTATGGCAGAATGCAGCGAAACAAAAAATAATTCATAAATATCAATATCTCAATATCTCAGAAAGGATTTTTTAAAAAATCTCTGTCAGATAAACATAGAGATTTCACCTAACATCGAAAAAGCTGACATTTTAATCTTACACACCCTTAAAGGGATGGCCTGTCCATCTAAACCAGGGCTAGCCAACCTTGCAACTTTAAAACTTGTGGACCTCAACTCCCAGAATTCCCCAGCCAGCTTAACAACCATACAGCTGGTTGGGGAATGCTGGGAACAGAAGTCCACAAGTCTTAAAGTTGCAAGGTTGGACAACCCTAATCTAAAAGTGCTTTTTTTTTTTTTTTTGGCATAGGTAAAGGTAAAGGTTCCCCTCGCACATATGTGCTAGTCATTCCCGACTCTAGGGGGCAGTGCTCATCTCCATTTCAAAGCCAAAGTACCAGCACTGTCCGAAGACATCTCCGTGATCATGTGGCTGGCATGACTAAATGCCAAAGGCACACGGAACACTGTTACCTTCCCACCAAAGGTGGTCCCTATTTATCTACTTGCATTTTTTACGTGCTTTCAAACTGCTAGGTTGGCAGAAGCTGGGACAAGTAATGGGAGCTCACCCCTTTACATGGCACTAGGGATTCGAACCGCTGAACTGCCGAACTTTCGATCAACAAGCTCAGCGTCTTAGCCACTGAGCCACCACATCCCTTTCTGGCATATCAAGAAATAAATTCAGCGATGCTTTTCTGTATCCTTTCTCCATTACACTAACTCTGCACACACCTTTTCTGTCTAGAATGTGGCAGTCTCTGTCAATTTCCAGTAGGGAAAAGAAGCCCTTCTAATTATTGAAGCATTATTGGAGTTTTGCATATTTAAGACCTATGGCCCATCTCAATGCACAGGCAAAGGAAGGACTGGGGTACGACAGATTCTCAAACTGTAGGACAAGTCGATTGCAAACAGGAAATGCCGAGTTAATTATTTTGCAGCATCTCAGTTCAATATTTTTATTACTCCCCCTAGTGTGTGTGCATCGGATCAGAAGAGCTTCTGGTCCCTCTTCTCTTGGCATCACGATTTAGGGAATTTATTTAGGGAATTTATATTGTCGCCTATTCACACATGGCGACCCAAGGCTGCTTATAGAATATAAAACCTCATATAAAACAGTAAAACTAATAAAAGAAGAGTCATATAATTAATAACTATAATAAAATCACCCCCACCCCACTACCTAAGTGACAGGACCTCACATGAGCCATTTAATGGGCTCCATCCTGCTCTGGGTTCCCCAGGCCTGCTGGCAGAACCAGGTCTTCAGTGCCTTCCAGAACAGTGCTAGAGTGGATACCATTCTAATCTCTGGGGGGATGATGTTCCAGAGAGAGGGGACCACCATGGAGAAGGCCCTTCTTCTGGGTCCCACCAGGTGTATCTCCCTAGGGGATGGGCCCCACAACATTCCCTGCCTCCCTATATATACTATAGCTCTGCACCAGCGGTGAAATCCACTTACCTTCACTACCGATTCGGAAACGGGAGCGTGTTGTGCGTGCACATGCTACACGCATGCACACCTCTTTTGTGCATGCACAGATGGTAAAAAATGGGACATAATGATGTCCTGGCGGTTGGGTGGAGTCTCCTGCCGCCGGTGCTACCAGTTCGGCGAACCGGATAGAACCGGGGGGATTTCACCGCTGCTCTGCACATTCATGAAACAGCTAAGAACAGTTCTGGTACCAACCTTCATGTAGCGTCCCTCATGTACACAGCCACATTTGTCCAGGGAAATGCACTTTTCCCCATCAGAAATGTAGCCATCATTGCACTGGCAGCCTTCAAAGCATTTCTCAGTACATTGGATTGGAGAAGATAGACCAGCACAGGTAAAATCACCGGATCTGGTACACAGCTCGTAGTGACTGTTATGTGGGCAAGTTAAGGCTGAGGAAAGAAGGAAAGCAGAATTAGAGAACTTCAATATAAAGTGTCCATGATTTTCATGCTTTGAGGAAAGAGATAGCTTAATTGCATGTGTAATAGGGGATGAACCTCTACATTGCCATTATCTAATGTGGCCAAATTGACTAATTTAATGAGATCCTAAGCCTAATTTCAAAACTCTCCACAGGAGATCAGGTTCTATCTTTAGTAAGAGATGCTTTTCTCCTTTTCATGTAATCAACACTTAGAAGAAAGAAGAGGGTGTTATTATTAATAATAATATAGGATGTCCAGGGGTGGGTTTCACATTAAGTTACTACCGGTTCGCCCCACATGTGCACGCTCGCTTCATGCAAGCATGCGCCCAGCCTCAAAGACATGCCTAAATAGGATGGCATAGAGCCAGGGCGGGGGGGCCCACCCACGATTTCCTCTACTGGTTCGGGTTAACCTGTCCGAACCGGCTGAATACCACCTCTGAGGATGTCCATATTGGAATGTCTTCGAAGAAAATGATAACTTTGTCCATATAGTCACCAGATGTTGAGCTTGACTATGATACCACAGGTTTGCTACATCTCCATCTCCCATGAGATGCCAATAGATCACAGAAAATATGATCCTCAGTGCTAAATGAACAGACGATAATGAGGCTCTTTAGCATATTAAAATAGTGGTTAGCTAAGCTATCTTTATGCTTTCAGAGAAAGGTGAAAAGCAAAGATAAATTAGACTGCCATTGGCTGAGCTGGTCATATCACAGATAAGATAAATCCGGCAGAGAAGGCAAGGTAAGTAACAAATAAGAAAAAAGTAGTTCATCGATTTCTACACTTATATGTCATCAAATAATTTTAAGGTTAAACTCTTTTAACCTTTTGAAAAGCACTCAAGACCTGGAATAAGGTGAGTTTTGTGAGATGAACCTCTTGTGGGCTGCATAGGAAAGCTTAGCTAGGTGCCAAATCTTTTCATTTTAATATTTTGGATTTTATTGTACGTAGATGTGGTTGTGAGCTGCCTAGAGTTTGGCACAAGCTGGGTGGCTATTTAAATGTTTAAATAGATAAGTAACAATTAATAAATAAAATTTATAGATCATAGAGTTGTATCAGGTGTAAAAGGTGTATTCTATTGAAGCATCTTTTCAAAATTAGTTTTAGGACTGCCTATATGCAGGGGTGGGATTCAGCCGGTTTAGACCAGTTCGGGCGAACCGGTAGCTCTGACGATCAGCTGGGAGCGAACCGGTTCATTCCGACGATCAGATCAGCCCACCCACACGCCCCTGCACTTTACTTACCTTTATCTTCTCAGCTGATTGGCACGGCAGAGCGGATTGCCATGCCTCAGCTACTTTACTCCCAAGTGGTAACACAGATTTGTAAAACTGTGTTTTACACAGTTGTATTTGTAAAACTGCGAAGTGCGCAATCACTGAACCGGTTGTTAAACCGGCAGCATCCCACCACTGCCTATATGGTTTTCTTCCCCTACCCCATTTAATTTTTCTAATGCCTATTGGTAATCCTTGACTTATGACCATAACTAAGACCAGAATTTCTGTTGCTAAGTGATGCGGTTGTTATCTGACTCGTGTCCAACTTTATGACTTTTTTGCCATGTTTGTTGAGCAAATTATGCAATCTTTAAGCAAATATGGCTTCCTCTATTGACTTTCCTTGTTGGAAATCCCTAACCACCACCACCCTTCCCGAAAATTGCAAGTGGCAATTACATGACCCAAGATTCTGCAACCTTTGTAAATACTTGCTGGGTGCTAAGCGCCAGAATTTTGATCATGTGAGCGACAGGATGCTGCAACAGTTGTAAGTATGAGGACCAATCACTGGTGCCAGTGTGGTGTGTAATATGTATATACCATGATATAAGATCATACACCAGAGTAATATACATGTTGCACAGAATATGATGTACATATGGAAACGTATGACTAGTTTTTTTCCCTAACTACTTGTATAAGGATTATTTCTTTATATTATTCATATATTATTATGAATATTCATATATTATTATGAATATTATTTCTTTATATTATTCATGTTGTCTTGTATTCTTGTATGGACTGCACCAGTAGAGGCTAAACCAATTTCATCGTATACATGATGTACAATGACAATAAAGGCTTTGGTTTTGACTTTGACAATCATAAGTCACTTTCTTAAGTGCCGTAGTAACTTCAAACAGTCCTTAAGTAAATGTTCATAAGTTGAGGACCCAAAGGTAGTTTAGATGAAGGGATGGTTCCATGTTAGGGCTGAAATGGGGTTCAACCTGAGTTTCCTGAATTTGAAGGCAACACTCTTAACATCTAGACCAGGGGTGTCAAACTTGATTTCATTATGGGCCGCATCAGGGTTGTGTTTGACCCTGGGGGGCCGGGGTGGGCATGGCCAGGGTGGGCGTGGCCATCTTGACGTCACTCAGGCGTTGGGGGCACCTGTGGTGGCCAGATCGCTCTGCTAAGTGAAAACGGGCTCCCGATCTTTGTTTCAGCTGGGATGGCCTCCTGAAACCCTCTGTCAGTGAAAATGGAGCTTGGGAGGGCCGTGCACAGCTCTCCTGAGCTCCGTTTTCACTGGCAGAAGGTTGCAGGAGACTGTGGCAGCTGAAAACGGAGCTCGGGAGTCCTTTTTCGATGGCAGAAGCACTATAGGCCGGTCCGCCGTTGTTTCCAGCGCGGCCCTGAAGGCCAGTTCTAAGTACTCCACGGGCCGGCTCCGGCTCCCAATCCTTGAATTTGACACCCCTGTTCTAGAGATATTCAGGATAAATGAGGGAATGAGAGAGATAAGCAAAGGAGTAAAAGGATCCTAAACAGATCTAGATCAGTGATTGAGCATAGCAGAAGCAGGTCCATTTCTCAACTCACGGCAAAAGGCGGCTGTCCTCCAGCTTTTGATAGTGGCTCCAGCTGCTTGGCACATGGCTACATAGGCCTGAAGGCTTCGGCAAAGAGCTTCTTTGGCTCCGTGAGCAGCACACATTTCGTACAGGCAGAGATTAAAATACCCTTCAGGCTTCACCAGGAGGTGGCAGACTTCAAAAGGGCCTGAGGGGGCCTTGATCAGCCCACAAGAACTCTCCACCTGATACGGCCTGATCTGAGCAGCATTGCAGGAGGGACAGTTCTGCCTGCAGTCATCCGAACACCTGAGGTGTCCCGCTGACACTTTCCAGGAGGCTCCAAACGTGGTGACGTTGGAGGTGCTGGTTCCATCAGGCAGTTGGAATTCATCTCGTCTCTCCCCGTTGAAGTTGCCACACAAGCCACATACCTGCCCTTGGTAGGTGCTAGGGATGATCAGAAGGATGAATTGGGAAAAATCATAGAGAACTTTGAAACCAAAGTCGGTCTGGACTAGAACATTCTTCCCCTCTTGATGGATTAAAATTGATCTTTTCTTTATCACGAGTGGCAGGGTATAGGCTTCTTCATTCACCTATGCAGAAAGAAGAGAAAAATCCATGGGAGATTTAACTGACATGAAGATTTAGTGTTTTTTTAGATTTTCTTTCTTCCACCTTTATTACTTTCATAAGTAACTCGAAGTGGTGAGCACAAGGGTGGGCTGATGGGGGTCCACAAGGGTTTGGGAGATCCTCTAGCTAAGATTCTGTGCAGTTCGGAGATCCCCCAAATCCCACTCCTGGCTGGGCCCATCCCACCCCTCCCACCCTGCGCCACCCCTCCCAGGAGTCCCCATGCAGCCCATTTTGGATGCAGGTAAGTGCAGGGCTCATAGAGGCTCGGGGAGGGCAAAAAACGGCCCTACCGGAAGTTCGGGAAGGCTGGAAACACCCACCCGGAGGCTCAAGGAAAGCCTCCGGAGCCCAGGGAGGGCAAAAACACCTCCCCGCCGTGGTGCAGGAGGCTAGACCACACCCACCATGGCCACACCCACCCAGCAACTGGGCAGAGAACCCCTTGCTAAACTTTTTGAAGCCCCACCGGTTGAACATACAAAATACATCTTCCTCCTCCTACGTTTCCACAAGAACAACCCTGTGGAATGGATTGGATTGGGACAGAGTGACTGGCCTAAAGTCACCCAGCCAGGTTTCATGCCTAAGTCGGGACTAGAACTCACTGTCTCCCGGTTTTTAGGCCGGCACCTTAACCACTACACCAAACTGGCTGTCTTGAATAGATAGACACAACCCACCTTCACGTGTTCCCAAGGGGAAGCAAAAACACAACTGAATTAGCTCCAAAGAACAAATAACATTTTTTTCATTAGTGTCAGCCACAGAAAAATAGCTTGATCTAGGTTAGGGTTAAGGTTAGAGTTCGAGTTAGATCAAAGTTCTAATTTTGTTCAAGGAAGGAAACTTGATTTTAGTTGTTTTTTTTTTTTTCTCGGAGAAGAAGAGCATTTTACTGAAACTGTGGTGGGTGAAAGATGGTAATCGTGCATTTAATTTGCTGTGAGATAACCCTGGCATATGTGTGAATCTTTTGCCCTTCACTGTACAATCCTCTCTCCGGCATTCCGGCAACGTTTAAATTTCAGAGAAAGACATGATGGGAGGACTCCTCCCATTTTAAAGGTTTTTTTTTTTTTTTTACTAGCAGTGCAATTTTCTTCACGAAGGGGGAAAATCTCACCCTGGAGGAATTTAAAGAATCTGTCTCCCTTATATTGCTGTTCTCAAGATGCTTCGCAGAATTTAGAAAGGCCATTTGTACTCAGCTCTTTCATACAACTTCAGCCGTTTCTGCACTATTCATTTACAGCGTCTTAGGGAGTATCACTCAGCCATCACTGAAGTGATATATAGGGCCTGTCTGCATTACTGTTATTTGGGCACAACTAAGGTTGGATGACTTGAGAAGATGCTATAAATCTCCAGCATGGAAATGACCTTGAAATCTCTGATTCCAAGAAGCACAACGGGCCTTCCTAGCTCCGTGAAACAGCAAGTAGTAGATAGAAAAAGGAAATCGACAGAAGAGGGAGACAAACTCTACCAATCTGCAAGTCTTGAAATCTGATGAATGGGCTGCTACCCGAACAGATAAAATCAGCATCCATTGATGATAAATAGCATGGGAATCCTCTCCTAGCACCGGGATCACTATGTGGGACTGTGGGAAATTGAAATTGCTAGAACCACAAGGTGCGTGCTATCGATGCTGGATAAATGCTGGACATCTTCAGAAGTAAGGAGCGGGTTCCAAATTTGAGAGGGCCTGAATATCTCAGCAGTGGATGTTTCTTACGAGGTTTCTCACTCAACCTTCATGGATTCATTTCTGATTCTTTACACCAGGGTCAGAAGCTAAGCATCATCTAAGTGTAAGCGATTAGACCTGGACATGTACAACAGCATCCTCGCAGTTTAGCAATAGCACTTAGACCTATATACCACTTCACAATGCTTTACAGCCCTCTCTAAGTAGTTTACAGAGTCAGCTTATTGCCCCCAACAATCTGGGTCCTCATTTTATCACCCTCGGAAGGATGGAAGGCTGAGTCAACCTTGAACCGGTCAGGATCGAACTGCTTGCTATGGGCAGAGTTAGCCTGCAATACCGCTGTCAACTCTGAAGTGAACCTGGCTGAAGCCATCTTGTCCTGCCTCACAGTTGCCATGAAGCCTGAGATAGAAGGGGAGGGATGGAAGTAGATAGCCCAGCTTGCAGTCAAAATAAGAAGTTTTCCTGTGGGAACCAAGGTCATCGTAACAGGTGGCTGGTGAAGGAGGAGAGGAGACTGCCAGCCATATTCATTGGACAATGTGACTGATGACACTAGGGAAGTATTAACCTTTTAATTAAGGGAAAACTTAATTAAGGGAACTTTCAGAGTTGGCTTTCACTGGCTGTGCCGATATGATGTACCCAATAAACTTGTTCTTAGAGGAATTTACTTGCCTCAGAGTTCTGCTTTGAATGGATTCATTACTCAGAATGCTGACAACTGCATTTTAACCACTGCACCAGGGGTGGGCTCCTGGGGGTTCAGCAGGGTTTGGGCAATCCTCTAGCCAAGGTTCAGTGAACCCCCAAATGCCACCCCTGCCTGGCCCTTCCCACCCTGCCCCTCCCAGGAGTCTCCATGCAGCCCATTCATCATTCCAGATAAATGCAGGGGCTATGTGGAGGGTCCGGGAGGGCTAAAAATGGGCCTATTGCAGGTTCCAGAAGTCTGGAAACAGGCCTGTTTCTGGCCTCTGGAGGGCCTCTGGAGCCTGGGGGAAGCTGTTTTCGCCCTCCAGGAGGCTTTCCTCAAGCCTCTGGAGCCTGGGGAGGGTGAAAAACGGACCTCCTGGAAGGTCCAGAAGGCTGGGAACGGGTCTGTTTCTGGGCTCCCGAGGGCCTCTGGAGCCTGGGGGAAGCAGTTTTCGCTCTCCTGGAGGCTTGAGGAAAGCCTCCAGAGCCTGAGGAGGGTGAAAAACGGACCTCCTGGAAGGTCCAGAAGTCTGGAAACTGGCCTGTTTCTGGCCTGCGGAGGGCCTCCGGAGCCTGGGGGAAGCTGTTTTCGCTCTCCTGGAGGCTTGAGGAAAGCCTCCAGAGCCTGAGGAGGGTAAAAAACAGACCTCCTGGGTAGGACACAGGACCTACCTGAACTTGCCAAGTCATTCCTCTCGCAAGTCTGATGACATAACCTCGAAGAGTGATGACAACCGCCTTGGGCATGACTTTGCCTTCCCGATTGCTTTCGTTCTCCACCACCACGGAGAAATGGACCAGTTCAGGATCCTTGCCGCAGACTTCGACCAAAGTGTAAGAACAAGACCCCAGGAAGTTGAAGGTCTCTCCATCCAAAGTGAGGTAGTGGCTTCCACCGGTTACGCTGCATTTGCCATAGCCACGAGGGTGACAAGCTTGCTTCCCGTTCTCAATCCTGCATTGCTGCTGAGGCCCACAGATGACCTTCCAACATTCTACGGCGCCATTTTCTCCGCAACGGCATTTGTCTTGGCAAGAAGCACTGAGGTAAAATTCATCGCCCTTTTTATAATACCTGCCCTGGTACAGACAACCACATTCTCCTATTGGGACACATTCATCTCCACTCAGGACAAACCCGGCATTGCAATAGCAGCCTTCTTTGCAGGATGTCACACATCCATCGGGGGCTGAGAGGCCATGGCAGGTCACAGGGCAGCCATCTCCACAGAGTTCGTAGTGAGAATTACGGGGACAGGAAAAACCTGAAAGAAACAGTGGAATATTAAGGGGCGGGGGATCACATATGGTTTGTTTAACTATGATTTGTTGACCCAAAGGTGCTTTTTCAGGAGACAACTGGACTTCCTTGTTTTTTTTCTTTTGAAGATCTTTCGCTTCTCATCCAAGAAGCTTCTTCAGCTCTGACAGGACTGTGAGGAATGGAAGGATTTATATTCTTTGTAGGACAGCTGGTCATTTGCATCGTTTTAGAGCAGGGGTCCCCAAACTTGGCAGCTTTAAGACGTGTGGACTTCAACTCCCAGAATCCTCCAGCCAGCATGGAGAATTCTGGGAGTTGAAGTCCACAAGTCTTAAAGCTGCCAAGTTTGAAGACCTCTGTTTTAGAGGGTCGTTGAAGTACTTGGAAGTGTATCCTTCCATTCCCCATTATCCTGTCAGAGCTGAAGAAGCTTCAATTACAGTTGAACATCAGGAAACATTCCATAACCGTAAGAGCTCCTCACCAATGGAACAAACTATTTTGAAAGGTGGCAGCCTCCCTTTTGATGATAGTGCTTCCTAATGGCCAGATGATTGTCTCTTGAAATACTAGAATAGTGGATTCTGCATTGGGCAGAGGATATTGCCGGGGATGTGTGTGGACCAGTTGATTGCTAATGTACCTCCCAAACCTTCATTCCTAGCTCCAATAACGCAGTGCTAAACTAAGCCACAATTCACGAGCTACAAACAATGTATATGGACTCAGATAAGGCAGGAAGCCCAAAGTGAGCCAACTCCATTACAGCTTAGTGCGGTGTGTGAAATCAGTTTATAAATAGCAACTGAAACAAAACCAGAATCTCCCTTCATGTAATCGGATCCGTGTTGACTTTGCAGGAAGGACTCCCAAGATTGACAGCTTGTGGGATTTTTGCCAAACCTGTGCAAAGTATCTCACACTCTGGTTAAATTAAACAGGGCTAAAGTTGAACCATCGCTTCTCCCTCAAGTTGGCAGCTGCCTGAAAACTGCAGAACTGCAGAGGGCACTTTGACTACTTGACGGTGGGGGAGACTATATTCACTCTATCTGTGCTTAGAAGTGAGAAGGTCATGTTGCTTTGCAAAGCTGTTTCGGTGGATGCTTTGCTTGGGTCTCCCTAAGAGGTTTCTGGGGAGGGGGAGGGGGGAGGAACCGGGTGCTGAGCTGTGGTGGCGCAGTGGCAGGGTTGGGCTGCTGGGGGTTCGCAAGGGTTCGGGAGAACCTCTAGCTAAGATTCTATGCAGTTTGGAGAACCCCCAAATCCCACTCCGTTTCAAAGCCAAAGAGCCAGCGCTGTCCAAAGACGTCTCCGTGGTCATGTGGCTGGCATGACTAAACACCAAAGGCGCACGGAACGCTGTTACCTTCCCACCAAAGGTGGTCCCTATTTTTCTACTTGCATTTTTTACGTGCTTTCGAACTGCTAGGTTGGCAGAAGCTGGGACAAGTAACGGGAGCTCACCCCATTACGCAGCACTAGGGATTCGAACCGCTGAACTGCTGACCTTTCGATCGACAAGCTCAGCATCTTAGCCACTGAGCCACCGCGTCCCACATCTTTGTAACAGAAAGAACATTAAACAGAAGGATTTGTTGAGTTGATTCGTTGTACATTGCTTTGGGATTACTTTCAATGAAAGGCGGGCCAAAAGTGGTTAAATAAATAATGCTCCCTCCCTCTCTCTCTCTCTCAGATAACACCTTCAAAGAGGGAAATTTCTTCACAAGTATCAGAGCACTGGAGGAAAGGATAAACTCACCTTACACCCAATGGTAAATTTCCCCTCTGGCTGATGTTATACTTATTTTTAAAAATATAAAAATGCACTTTCAGATCTAGTTTGGTTTGGAGAAGGATTGTTTGTTCCAAAGGTGCTTTTTTTCAAGAAGCAACTGGACTTTCTGGTTTTTCTTTGAAGACGTTTCTCTTCTCATCCAAGGAGCTTCTTCAGCTCTGACTGGATGGTGGGGGGAAGAAGCTTCTTGGATGAGAAGCAAAACGCCTTCAAAGAAAAAAAACAGAAAGTCCAGTTGCCTCTTGAAAAAGCACCTTTGGGACAACCATGACCTGGATGATTGAGAATCTCCATATACAAGAAGGATTGTTTGTTAGCTTCTTTCTTTGACCTTCCCTTGAAAACATCTCTCTTACACAATGTTTCTCAACCTTGGCCATGGCTGGTTGGGGAATTCTGGGAGTTGAAGTCCACAGGTCTTAAAGTGGTCAAGGTTGAAAAATACCACTCTAATACTTACTGCAAAAGGAGGCCAACCGCCATTGTTCAATCTGGATGCCCTGTGCTTGGCACACCATTACGTAGGCTTCAATGGCACTGCACAAGATGCTTTGGTGGCCCTTGTACAGACAGGCATCCAAGACACAAGAATCAAAGTAAGGAGCTGGGTCGATAGCTTTGTGGCAATGCCTGAATGGTCCATCTTTTCTGGAGAGGACCCCACAGTAGCGATCCTTCTTGTAGATCTGTTTCTCATTTTCACTACAGCCTGGGCAGTTGCTGGTACACCCATTCACACAACCAAGGCTCTCTCCTTCTTTCCAGCTGTCGGCAAACTGGATAAAATTGGCTGCTGGGACCCCATTCTTCATGGTCAACTCTCTACCAGGTTTTTGACCGCCGTTACCGCAGAGACCACAAATCACATTGAGATAGCTGCCAGGAACGGTGATGTGGACTAGTCTATTCCAACTGAAGATCACGGAAAGGTCAAACTGAGTCTTGATAAGGAGATGATTTCCACTAAGGTAGGCCTGGATCTTGTCTTCATAGTAGAAGGGCAAGTCCACTAATACTCCATCAACCTACAGGAAGAGAAGAGAATATTGTCAAAATGGAAAACGAAATGAAGAGCCTTGGTGGTGCAGTGGACTAAGTGCTGTTATGTAGCACTTAGCTGCCAGCTGCCTGCAATTAGTGTGAGTTCAAATCTCACCAGGCTCAAGGTTGACTCAGCCTTCCATCCTTCCCAGGTAGGTAAATTGAGGACCCGGATTGTGGGGGCAATAAACTGACTTTGTAGAAACACCGCTTATGGGGGGCCAAAAGCCCTAATAAGCAGGTATATGCAAAAGAATGAAGGCTATTGCTATAAGTGCATTGTAAGCCGCTCTGAGTCTTCGGAGAAGGGCGGCATATAAATTGAACTAATAAATAAATAAAACAAAGCCGATTACTCAGGAGGAAACAACAGAGACCATATTTAAGAGAAGCTCCAGTCCATAACATCCTTATACAGGATAAAATGTACCATTAAAACACTCACTGTCAGGATGTTGCTATAAGGGTCATACCAGGGGTGAAATGCTCCCGGTTCGGACTGGATCGCCCAATCCAGTAGCGATGGAGGCGGGTGGTTCGGAGAACCGGTAGCAAAAATACCTGCCCCCCCCCATGCCCAGTTGAACTGCACAATCATCAGAGGCTTTTTTTTTACTTTTAAAAGCATTTTTTCTACAACCTCTTCCGCCGAAAAAATGCTTTTAAAAGTTAAAAAAAAAAAGCCTCTGATGATCGCATGGCTCAGCTGGGATTGTCAAAGTCTTTTAAAAGAAAAAAAAGCCTCTGCCGATTAGGCAACTCAGCTGGGATCGTCAGAGCCTTTTGAAAGCATTTTTTTACAACCTCTTCGAAGAGGTTGTAGAAAAAAATGGTTTCAAAAGTAAAAAAAAAAAAAATTGGCCACGCCCAGCCAGTCACATTACCCCCCCCACACACACACACACACCAAGCCACGCCCACAGAACCTGTAGTGACAAATTTTAGATTTCACCACTGGGTCATACGTATGATAACTTTTCTTCAGTGATGTTGTAACTTTGAACAGTCACTAAACAAATGTTTGTAAGTCGAGGACAACCTGTATTAGCCTAGCCTCTTACCTGGATTGTATCAGGATGATCTTGGCTGATGGTAATGATCATGTTGTAGACTTCCAAGGTCATAAGAGAAGAGAAGGGCAAGATCTTCCTGCCTTGGCTGTTCTGGATCTTGATGGCGAATGGCGTGAGAGCAGGATCCTTGGCACAGAAGCCGACCAGTTGGTAGAGGCAAGTGCCAGTAAAGTCATGTTTCCGCCCATCAAAAGTGGCATAGTGATGATTCCCCATCACTGTGCAGGTGGCAAAGCTGATGGCGTAGCAATCTTGGATGCCGTTTTCTATTCTGCATATCTCGCTGGCCTTGCAGCTGGCTGGCTCACACACTACGATGCCCATCTTGGGGTCACACCTGCAGCGAGAGGTGCAGTTCTTATCCCCCCAGAATTCCTGCTCCGGTTTGTAGTAGAGGTCATTGTAGGTGCAGCCACAACTCCCCACGGGGACACATTGATCTACACTGAGCACGTAGCCATCGTTGCATTGGCAGGTTTCCACACAGGGCATCTTGCAGGATGCGGAAGCCAATCGCTGAGAGCAAGTGTTTGGGCAGGCGCTTCCACAGGCCTCGTAGTGGCTGTTCTCAGGACAGGGCAAAGCTGGAAAGAAGGAGGAAAGTAAGGACTTTTCAGTAAGTTGAACGGACAGAATGCCAATGGCACCAGTGAGAGTTGCACAGCAAGGCTGGCCTACCCAACAGCAGTAAACTCTACCAACCAGCTCATGTCCTTTCCTTTCCTTTCCTTTCCTTTCCTTTCCTTTCCTTTCCTTTCCTTTCCTTTCCTTTCCTTTCCTCCCTTTCCTTTCCTTTCCTTTCCTTTCCTTTCTTTTCCTTTCCTTTCCTTTCCTTTCTTTTCCTTTCCTCTCCTCTTTCCTCTCCTCTACTTTCCTTTTTTTTTCTTTTCTTTCCTTTCCTTTCCTCTTCTTTCCTCTCCTCTCCTCTCCTCTCCTCTCCTCTCCCCTCCCCTCCCCTCCCCTCTCCTCTTTCCTTTTCTTTCCCTTTTTAACGTGCCTTTATTATTTTTATAAATTTTAATAATTTATTTTCATAAATATCTCAAGGCACTTAATACTCCTTCCTCCTATTTTCCCCACAACAACAACAACCCTGTAAGTTGGACCAAGAGAGAGTGAGCCAAATTCAGCTTTTACGCCTAAGGCAGGACTAGAACTCACAGATTCCTGGTGATTGGTCCAAACCAGGGATGAAATCCAGCAGGTTCTGACAGGTTCTGGAGAACCAGTAGCAGAAATTTTGAGCAGTTTGGAGAACCGGCAAATACTACCTCTGGCTGGCCCCAGAGTGGTGTGGGAATGGAGGTTTTGCAATATCCTTCCCCAGGAGGAGGAGAGGGAATGGGGATTTTGCAGTATCCCTCCCCTGAAGTGGGGTGGGAATGGAGATTTTGCAGTATCCTTCCCCTGCCACGCCCACCAAGCCATGTGCCCACCAAGCCACACACCACGCCCACCAAGCCCACAGAACTGGTAGTAAAAAAATATGGATTTCACCACTGGTCCAAACTCACCCAGCTGCTTTCATGCCTAAAATAGTACTAGAACTCACAAACTCCTGGTGATTGATCCAAAGTCATCCCGTCACTTTCAAGTCTATGATGAGACTAGAACTCACATCTCCTGGTTTCTAGCTGATGCCTTAAACACTAGACCAAACTGGTTCTTATATTACATATTATCTCACATATTAATATAACAGCATTGTTCACATGGAGGCCACCTGGACATTTAATCTATACCAGTTCAGAGAAAAACCAGCCAGCCTGATTCCCCAGAGATCTCACTAAAGAAAGCCTCTGCTTAACTAGTTGAATGATAAACTGGATTCTAAACAGAATCTTGCCAATTTCTGAGTTTTCTATAACTTTATTCTGTTCTCTTCAGTAACTTTTGTTTTTTTTAAAAAAAAAAAACAGGAAGACGCTTGCTTTCTGTTGAATGGGCTGACTGTCAGCACGTCAAGATGCATTTATCCTAGTGCTGACATGAGAAGGAGAACGCAAGTGTCTGCAATGGGACGGTTGCCTGTCATCTACTTATTTTAGCTGGAGATAATGTCCCCTAGGAGATGGATGGGAGGGGGGAAATTCTTTGAATTGGAGCAGTAGATTAGGGGTGAATGATTGGGAAGATGGCCAATGAATGCAGAGGATGGGGGAAGGAAGAGGAGGGATTTTGGGTCAGCACCTCACTGCTGGCTGCATGGAGTCAGTGTAAAAGTTGCCGTGCTAAATAAATTGGAAGTTTGTTTCAAAAAAGACTTCGTTTGAGGCGCAATTTATTTGAAGACGGCCTGAAAAACCTGACACTGACAAGAGTTTCACAATTAGCCTTGGCGTGCAAATTTGGGCTACCACTCTTGCACAAGTGTGTCAGCAAATGTCTATGGAGATTCTCGGTCATCCAAGTCATGGTTGTCCCAAAGGTGCTTTTTCAAACGTCAACTGGACTTTTCTTTTCTTTTTTTTCTTTGAAGTTGTTTCGCTTCTCTGAAGAAGCTCCTTGGATGAGAAGCGAAACGTCCTCAAAGAAAAACCAGAAAGTGTCAGTTGCCTCTTGAAAAAGCGCCTTTGGGACAACCATGACTTGGATGACTGAGAATCTCCATAGACATTTGCTGACACACTTGCGCAAGTGTGGTATCATAAAGACAGGGTCAGCAATTCATTGGCAGCAATTCATTGGCAGCAAAGTGATGGGCTCCCCATCCAATGAATAAACCCATCCTTTCTGGGGTGGGGGAGGGCGGGGGGAAACACGAGGGGTTGATTTTCCCTCATGCCAGCCCGTGAACTTGTACTCACCACAACCGCTTTGTGTTCTCCAGTCTGTAATGATCACACCCTCCGTGCGGCAGCCAGTTGCGTAAGCCTCTAGAGCTTTGCACAGGATGCTCTTGGCACCCCCGCTGAGACAGACGTCATAAATGCAGCTGTCAAAAAAGTTGTCAGGGCTTAACTTAGGGTGGCATTTCTGGAAGGGACCCTCGTCCAACTTGGTGAGGAGCCCACAGAATTTGTCGCTTCCAAAGAGTTGCTGCTTGCTCTCCTCACAAGTGGGGCATTTGTCCTTGCAGTAATGCCAGCAGAACGGATCGCGGTCCTTCACTTGCCAACTTGCAGCCCACTCCACCGCAGAATTCGCCTTGTCCCCTGCAGCTGTGATCATGTCGTCCTTTGGGTTTTGGTTGAAATTCCCACAGAGGCCACAGATGGAACCGTAGTAGCTGCTGGGGAGGATGACGGATAAGAGGGAGGCCCCGTCGAAAGATACCACCAGTCCAAAGTCGGTTTGTAGGATGGCATTCACGCCACTCCGGAAAAGGTGGATTTTCCCATCCTCCAGGGTCACAGGCAGGTTTGTGATGACCCCGTTCAGCTGTGTTTTTAAATACAAATATACATACATAATGTATGGGCACAGATGTAGAAGATATAGAAGAATAGAATAGAATAGAATAGAATAGAGTAGAGTAGAGTAGAGTAGAGTAGAGTAGAGTAGAGTAGAGTAGAGTAGAATAGAATAGAATAGAATAGAATAGAATAGAATATTAAGTAAGTAGAGTAGAGTAGAGTAGAGTAGAGTAGAATAGAATAGAATAGAATAGAATAGAATAGAATAGAATAGAATAGAATAGAATATTAAGTAGAGGAGAGGAGAGGAGAGGAGAGGAGAGGAGAGGAGAGGAGAGGAGAGGAGAGGAGAGGAGAAGAGAAGAGAAGAGAAGAGAAGAGAAGAGAAGAGAAGAGAAGAGAAGAGAAGAGAAGAGAAGAGAAGAGAAGAGAAGAGAAGAGAAGAGAAGAGGAGTAGAGTGAATAGAACAGAACAGAATAGAATAGACATTGTAGAGTAGAACAGAACAAAACAAAACAGAACAGAACAATAACTTTGTCACTTTGAGTGTACACTAAACGGCATACATTAAGATGAAATTTTGTTGCATATGGCTCTCAAAGGGTCACCACCTCCAATATATGCTACATATACATGATAAAATAAATAAATAAATACAAAATTGTGTACATACCCACATATATTCTATGACACAGAGAAACAACACAGTCTAGTTCAGATGCATACACGTTACATGGCGAGAGAAATGAATTTTGCGAGATGACCAGGTTGAGTCCGAGGGAAGGGTCAAATGCATCATCAGTCTCCAATCCCTTCATGCCCACAAGAGAATCCAGCCCACCTTGAATTCCGTTGACCTTTTCCCGCTGCTAATTTGCTGTGACCATTAGTGGTCGGCAAATTTTCTAGAAAAATTTTAGCGTATAATAAACCTGTATTCATTTGAACCACCTGGACTCCTGAATTATTCTGGCTAACACAACCGCCTACAAGTAGTCCTCCTCTTACAACTACAATCGGGACCAGAATTTCCGTTGCTAAGCAAGGCAGTTGTTAGGTCGTTGTGCCCGATTTTATGACTTTTTGGCCACAGTTGTTAAGTCCCTGCCATTATTAACTGAATCACACAATTGTTAAACAAATCTGGCTTTCCTCTACACTTTGCTTGTATTTATGCAGGTAATCCTCGATTTACGACAATTCGTTTAGTGACCATTCAAAGTTACAACGGCACTGCAGAATGTGACTTATAATCCTTTTTCACAGTTACGACCTTGGCACCTTCCCCATGATCACATGATCAACATTCAGATGCTTGGCCGCTGGCTGGATCTCAAGATCCCCTTTTGGGACCTTCCAACAAGCAAAGTCTAGGAGGAAGCCAGATTCACTTAACAAGCGGGTTACTAACTTTATCAGCTGAAGTGATCTGCTTAACAACCGTGGCAAGAGAGGCTGTAAAAGGGGGCAACCCCCCCCCTTAACAAATGTCTCTATTTAGCCACTTAGAAACGTTGGGCTCAATTGTGAGTGTAAGCCGAGAACTGCCTGTGTAGGATGAATTTTCAGGGTGCCTTCCAGGGGTGGGTTCTAAATTTTTTTACTACTGGTTCTGTGGGCGTGGCTTATTTCGTGGGTGTGGCTTGGAGGTCATGTGACTAGGTGGGTGTGGCTAGCTGGTCAGAGTCATTTCTGGAAGGTCCTCGCACTTACGACCAGTCCTGGCACTTATGACCCGACTCATTTGTTTGCTTTTAACACTGATCAGCTGTAGGACGGCCCTTTGAAGCCCCGCGGCAAGAGTTTAAACTGTTTTTTTCCCTCTAGTCATCAGCTGGGACTCAGGAGGCAGCAATAGATTGGGGGTGGGACCAAATAAAAGGTAAGAATAACGTGGGGGGGGGCGGGGGGGAGAACTGGTTCGGTGACATCATATCATCACCGCTACCAGCTCAGCCAAACCAGACCGAACTGGGAGGAACCCACCACTGGTGCCTTTCTAGAATCATGCAAAGTGACACCAGAAACAGGTTAAAATGCAGTTTGGTTTGGCCAAAACATCTCCTGGCTCTGATGTCCGTCATGGAGAAGCTTCAAGGCCCCCGCAAAGGCCACATCTAAGCAAAGAGTGCGGTGCTGCCTGCCTTTTTTTGCTTCGGTGAATGATGTTGCCTCTGCCGCATGAATTTGTCAAAGGGAATGTAGGTCACCTTGCACCAGCCTGCTTTGCATTCAGAAATGTGATGATCAGGTCACATTTTTGGACTGGCTTCACATATCAGGTGCCAGAACCCAGCCAAGCTTAGCTGATCTCAAAAAAAAAAAAAAAAAAAGCTAAGCAGAGCTGGACATGAGTCGTACCGGGATGGGAGATGATGCTAAAATTCCAGGACTATACGAGCTTGATGGAAAGTCAGAAGAAGATCCCAAGAGAAGCTAGCAAGCCACTTCTTTATCACTGCCAAGAAAACAACGTGGAAGTGTTCAGGTCCTCAGAAGGTAAGAATAGAATAGAATAGAATAGAATAGAATAGAATAGAATAGAATAGAATAGAATAGAATAGAATGGAATGGAATGGAATGGAATGGAATGGAATGGAATGGAATGGAGTGGAGTGGAGTGGAGTGGAGTGGAGTGGAGTGGAGTGGAGTGGAACGGAACGGAACGGAACGGAACGGAACGGAACGGAACGGAACGGAACAGAACAGAACAGAATAGAATAACAGAGTTGGAAGGGACCGTGGAGGTCTTCTAGTCCAACCCCCTGCTTAGGCAGGAAACCCTACACCACTTCAGACAAATGGTTATCTAACATCTTCTTAAAAACTTCCAGTGTTGGAACATTCACAGCTTCTGGAGGGAAGTTGTTCCACTAATTAATTGTTCTCACTGACAGGTAATTTTTCCTTAGTTCTGAGTTGCTTCTCTCCTTGATTAGTTTCCACCCATTGCTTCTTGTTCTACCCTCAGGGGCTTTGGAGAATAGCTTGACTCCCTCTTCTTTGGGGCAGCCCTGGAGATATTGGAACACTGCTATCATGTCTCCCCTGGTCCTTCTTTTCATTAAACTAGACGTACCCAGTTCCTGCAACCATTCTTCATATGTTTTAGCCTCCAGTCCCCTCATCACCTTTGTTGCTCTTCTCTGCACTCTTTCTAGAATCTCAACAACTTTTTTTACATCCTGGCGACCAAAACTCGATGCAGTATTCTTGATCCAAGGGTGATTGACTTTTAAAACAATTTTATGTGGTTGGGAGAATGATTACAGGTGGGCCTCGACTTACAATAGTTCATTTAGTGACCGTTCAAAGTTACCACGGCACTGAAGAAGATGATTTATGTCCAGTTTTTCACAGTTACGACCTTTGCAGCATCCCCATGATCACATGATCAAAATTCAGATGCTTGGCAACCGGTTCATACTTATGACCGTGTCTGTGTCCCGAGGTCATGTAATCCCCTTTGGCGACCTTCTGACCAGCAAAGTTCATGGGGAAACCAGATTCACTTAACAACCGGGTTACTAACTTATCAGCTGCTGGGATTCACTGACCAACTGAGGCAAGAAAAGTCGTAAGATGGGCAAAACTAACTGAACAAATGTCTCACTTCATAACAGAAATTTTGGGCTCAATTGTGGTCGTAAGCCGAGGACTACCTGTTATAAGCGTAACAATGGGGGAAATGTTTTGTGGACCCTGTCCATCTTCGTTAGTTTCTATTGTGACCATGCTTACTTTTTACACAGTACCTGTTCTGACCCGGCTCCCAAACACGACAAACCCTCTGTAGCAGAGGTGGGTTTCAGCAGGTTCGGACCAATTCTGGAGAACCGGTAGTGGAAATTTTGAGTAGTTCGGAGAACTGGTAGTAAAAGTTCTGACTGGTCCCGCCCCCATCTCTGCCTCCCAAGTCCCAGCTGACTGGGAGGAAATGGGAATTTTGCAATAACCTTTCCCTGGATTGGGGAGGGAATGGAGATTTTACAGTATCCTTCCCCTGCCATGCCCACCAAGCCACACCCATCAAGCCATGCCACGCCCACCAAGCCACACACACAGAACCGGTAATAAAATTTTTTGAAACCCACCACTGCTCTGTAGTTAAACAAATGTTCCCTTTATTAGGAGCGCCAGTCTCTCTTTTACACACACCTCAGGCTAACAGATTTGTCTGGCAGGGAGATGAATAGTTGTCTGACACACCTATTCATCTCTGCCCCCTGCCTTTTATCCCCAGAGCTAGGAGGGGCTTCACTAGCAGCGGTGACTCTTCCGTCCCAAGGATCAGCCCATAGATTTCCACTGCTCTCCTCTCCTCTGTCTTCTGCGCATCCATGCATCAGGCACTGGACCTAGCTGTTCCTCCTCTTCCTCATCAGCCACCTCCCGACCCAGGGGTTGTTGACTCTCCATCTGAGGGCTGATGGACAGCCCAGGCTCCACCTCTGTCTCTATCTCTGACAGCTCCATTCCCTCTTTGCCCTCAGAGCTCTCAGGTTGCCTTGATGCTGGCCCTGACTCCCACGCCTCCTCCTCCTCCTCCTCCTCTGATTCGGCTGCTGGAGGGGCCGGCGGCCAACAGGCCACAACAGTATCTATCTTCATTGTCATTCAGAGGTTGCCTATCCCAAGGGTTCCTTCGGGCTACATCCTGATGCTACCTCAATTTCACTGCAAAAATAATAACAACTAAACTCACCCAGATTTTGCCTGTGTGCCTCCTGCGGATGGAAATGTTGTAGCCGTACACATAGATATTGGTCAGCCGCACAAAAGAAACATCCTGCCTCCCCCGGTTTTCATTCTTCTGATCCACCACAAATGGAACCAGTCCGGTGTCACTGCCACAATACTTGGCCAAAGTGTAAGTGCACGTCCCTTGGAAATCCACCTCCAACCCATCAAAGGTGTGATAGTGTGGTTCTCCCCAGCCATAGCAAGTTTCGTTGTAAATTGGGACACATGAAGCTTTGCCATCCTTTACTTTACATGTTTCTTTGATCCGACACTGTAAAGTTTTGCAAGGATCTGATAGAAGAAAAGATACACAATCAAACATAGTAGAGGTAGCCCTCAATTTACAATCATTCATTCACAGGTACAACGTTCACAGGTACAACGGCACTGAAAAAAGCCACTTATGACTGTTTTTCACACTTACAAGCTGGTTGGCAAGTGCCTGAATTACAATCAGATGATTGCATAACTTTGGGTGATGGTCATAACTTTGAGGATGGGTCATAAGTCACTTTTCTCAGTGCTGTTGTAACTTTGAACCATTGTTAAATAGTTGTTAAGTCGAGGACTACCTGTACTGCATGAATTCCACTCTATGCAGCAAACTCATTGTATAGAAAGTTGAGATCGGAGTCAGCTGTACCTTAAATACATCCTTCTGGAAATATTTTTGCTGAGTTTTCTAGGATAGGATAGGATAAATAGTGTTGGATAATCTGGGATGATGGTGGTAGGTCAGGGTGTTCTTGGAAACTAACCATTGGGTCATCTGTCCCACTGTGTTAAACAGCAAAGGAAATTCCTGGAATTTTTTTATTCAGTAAAATAACTTTACTGAAAAATCATATGGGTACAGAAGTGGAAAACCCAGTGTCAACTCACAAAGCATCCCTGGCCTATTCTTGAGTTGCCATAGGCAAGGGGGATAGGAAAACAGTGAAGCAGCACGGCAGCCAAAAACAAAAGTACATTCCAGACAAATCTCTCTCAAGGCTGTCTCCCAGGGTTACCCACAGCGCCCGGAGGGGAGTGATCTCTACAACCCATGAAATTGCTCCATTGGTGAATGTGACTGATGATACACCCTGGGGAAGGGGGGAAACAGGGTCAAGATTGGGTTGTAAATTACATGGGGTCAGAGTTGGAATGTGCCAACATGAAGCTCCTAATAAATGACTGGATTTCTTTTGAAGCTTGGCTCGAGGCTCATGATTTAATTAGGGCATCTGTTGGAACCCTGACAGCCAGCTCTGATGATTTTGAATGCAAAACAGTATAGTGAAACTTTCCTTTTCCCCCTGGGCCTCCCATTGTCCATTGTCCACCAATCAGCTGCATACCAAATGAGTTTTAGGAACAGTCTGTCTGCCTTGGAGGTTCCCAACTGATGACCTTGGAGTTTGGGTCTATCTCATGCTTCCGGGTGGCACACTTGGAATTCCAGAGTTCCCTCCCAAACCCCCCTTACATTCCAATGCCTTCCCTTCCCACTCCCGTTACTGTTGTCTGGTTGCAAACAAGGCTGCGTAGCGAGTTAACCACCGCACATTGTTTTGGCAGGTTGTGGGACACAGGCAGAGGTGGGTTTCAGCATGTTCTGACCAGTTCTGGAGAACCGGTAGCGGAAATTTTGAGTAGTTCGGAGAGCCGGTAAATACCACCTCTAACTGACCCCACCCCCATCTGTTCTCTGCCTCCCGAGTCCCAGCTGTTCAGGAGGAAATGCGGATTTTGCAGTAACCGTCCCCTGGAGTGGGGAGGGAATGGAGATTTGACAGTATCCTTCCCCTGCCACGCCCACCAAGCCATGCCATGCCACGCCCACCAAGCCACACCCACAGAACATGTAGTAAAAGATTTTGAAACCCACCACTGGACGCAGGTCATCACGCTAAGCCAACACTTAGCTTGGCATTTAGTTGGACACACAATGTGCATTGTATTTTGACGATTTGGGATTAGCGCGTGCAAATTTAGCTCTTGACTCAGTTACCTTTATTAATGCATCTCATGATCCCATCCTGGACCTGGCAGTCTTCGTCAGAAGAACAGTGGTAAGATTTGCAAAGGAGTCCCTGCCCAGGCAAGCACTGGCAGATTTGCTGGCATTCGTTCAACAGGACCTCCTCTTTGGGCTGAGAAGGCGTGGAACAAAAGAAGCATTCAGCACGTTTAGCTTCCAATGAGTATTTTTAAGCTTCCATCAAGGAACAGAAGGCATTTGTGTAGCACAATTCCTAAGCTCTCTATTCTGTCTATGATATTGAATATCCTTATTGTTCCAGAAGGAGGAAAAAAACCCAAGAATCTGGGCTCAGAGATATAGAAATACTGTGTGTCCCATTCAAAAAATAAGAAAGCCTCTTACGCTATGATAATAGCAAGTTTCTTGGAATCCTGACACTGGACTTCTTAGGAGTAGCTCTCTGGTGTAAGATGTTCTCAAAGAGGTCCATCTGATACCTCCTCTATTATTCTTTAGGAATCCTTCACAGCTCTCCTATAATCATCCAAGCTTTTAAACTTCCTGCCGCCCTTTTGCTACACAGGCAGTCTTTGTTTAGCAACTGCCACATACAGTGACTGCTTGTGGTTATGACGGCAATAATTTTGCAACCAATCCTTGCATTTAGGACCTTGGCAGGTCTGTAAAGCAAAGGAAAGCTGAAGTTCAGTTAAGTTGCTTCGCTTAACGACTGAGTTGTTGGTCCCAATTGCGGTTGCTAAACAAGGACTCTCTGTATAATGATTTAAGTAGTATTATCTCTAGGATATATACTCTCTCTAAATTCCTTTCTTTATTCTTCATTCCACACCACACTTTTTCTTTCTTATTTATTTTTCAAGCAGACATGTATTCTTTTTTGGGATGTAAGGAAAAAAATGTTTCGGTCAGGATTGGCTTGGTTAGCTTATTACAGGTAATCCTTGACTTATGACTGGCCACTTAGCAACCATTTGAAATTGCAATGGACCTCCCCAGAGCTATTTACAACCTAGATTCGAAGTTCCAAAGGTTGCCCCCCCTGCATAGTCACATGATCACAACCAGTATGCACAACTAATCATGATTGTGGGAGCATGATTTATGACTTTTTTTGTGGAGACTGTTTTTTCACTTCTCTGACAATGGATGCATATTATGACTGATGCATTCACTTAGAGACCATGGTGAGTCCCTTAAAGATTGCTGCAAGGTCAAGTTCCCCCCGTACATATGTCCTAGTCGTTCCTGACTCTAGGGGGCGGTGCTCATTTCCGTTTCAAAGCCGAAGAGCCAGCGCTGTCTGAAGACGTTTCCATGGTCATGTGGCTGGCATGACTAAATGCCAAAGACCCACGGAACATTGTTCCCTTCCCACCAAAGGTGGTCCCTATTTTTCTACTTGCATTTTTTACGCGCTTTCGAACTGCTAGGTTGGCAGGAGCTGGGACAAGGAACGGGAGCTCACCCCGTTATGCGGCACCAGGGATTCGAACTGCTGAACTGCCGACCTTTCGATCGATAAGCTCAAAGTGTCTTAGCCACTGAGCCACTGCATCCCTGATTGCTGCAAAGAAGGTCATAAAATTGTTCATGGCCAGGCGATGACCTACTTAATGACTGTAATTTTGGGCTCAGTGATGATCTTATGTTGAGGACTACTTACAGAAGAGAGGAACGAAGGAGCCCCTGGAGAAAAGCTTAACCAACAACTCCACTGGGACAGTCAGAAATGAGGCTGGGCGGGTGAACGAAAGTTGCTTTTTCAAAAGGCAACTGGACTTTGTTTTTGTTGAAGATGTTTCGCTTCTCATCCAAGAAGCTTCTTCAGTTCTGACTTCACTTCAGTCAGAACTGAAGAAGCTTCTTGGATGAGAAGGAAAAAGTCTTCAAGGAAAAAAAACAAAGTCCAGGTTGCCTTTTGAAAAAGCAACTTTGGGAGCACCATGACCTGGATGACTGAGCATCTCCATCGACATGAGGCTGGGTAGAGCAAAGATCTGATTTAAGTGAAGACTGGAGCCTTACCCTATAATAACTTCCATTTCCAAAGCATCCACAGCCCTCCATTGAGACGCAGCTGAGGCCGTCAAAGAAGTATCCAAGATCACACTGGCATCCTTCGGCACAGGTTTCAGGACATATTCGGAGCCCAGAGCAATCAGCAGTACAAAAATCAGCACATTCCTCATAGTGGCTGTGGGGAGGACAGCTCAAAGCTGAAAGAAAGAGATGGAGGGGGAGAGAATGATTTGCATTCAATGCTTTATAGCAAATTTCAGCCTTTGGACCAGATCTTCAGCAGGGGGAGGAGGAATGTCATGTGAAATGGATGCGCTGAGCAACTGAAGCTGCCAAAAAATGCTTACTGTTTGAACGGAAGCAGAGCAAATGCTTTTTGTCTGAATGGAGAACATTGGAGTCCCTTTTTACGTGGGCTTGGGGTTCTTTGGTGGCTTAGCCCCAAAACGGATGAGTCCAGGGGTCAGTGTTTCTCAACCTTTATGACGTGTGGACTTCAAATCCCATAATTCGATTTCATTGAGGGCTGCATCAGGGTTGTGTTTAACCTTGGGAGTGGGGCATGGCCAGCTTGACATCACTCATGTTGGGGGCACCTGTGGAGCCCAGTGAAAATGGGCTCCGAGCTCTCTTTTCAGCTGCGACAGCCTCCTGCAACCCTCTGCCGGAGAAAATGGAGCTCGGGACGGCCGCGTGCAGCCCTCCTGAGCTCCGATTTCACTGACAGAGGCACCACGGGCCGGTCCTTCGCTGTTTCCAGGGTGGCCCTGCGGGTCAGATCTAAGCACCCCGTGGACCTCATCCAGCCCTTGGGACTTGAGTTTTACACCCCTGGACTAGAAGACCCCCGAAGTCCCTTCCAGCCCTTTTATTCTAAGTTTCTGAAAACTGGAATTCAACATTACTCACGGCAGAAAGATGGACTCCTCCATGGCTGGATAAGGACCTTGGCTTCTTGACAGGCTGACACATAGCTCTGAATGCTTTGGCACAAGGACTGGCTGTTTCCGTTGCTTTGGCACAAATCATAGATGCAGTCATTGAAAAACACACTGGGGTTCACCTGGCTGTGGCAACCCTTTAAGGGGCCATCCGAGGCAGTGAGGATCCCACAGTAGTTGCGCTGTTTGAAAACCTTCTTCTTGTTTTCATCACAGGCTGGGCAGTTGCTCCCAGAGCATCCATCTGAACAAGGTCCTCCTGCCCCAAGGACCGAAACCTTCCAGGAAGCACCAAACTCAGCCACATCTGTAACTTTCTTCCCACTGGGTAGTAGGAACTCGTCATCCTTCCTCCCATTGTAATTCCCACACAGACCTTGCATCCGCTTCTGATAGCTGCTTGGGACAGTAATTCTCACATGGTAAACCAGGTCATAGCTCACCACAAGGCCAAAGCTGGTTTTTATCAGGACCTTCGTGCCATGTTGATAGGCTTTGAGATGTCCTTCAGAAAGTTCAATGGGGAGGGACCGGAATACCCCATTCACCTGGAAGAGAGAGTAAACAAGGAATTGGTACAGCAGTCATACAGACCTCGAGGATTTGTTTGCTCTCTAATGGCAGAACATTAATATTTCCAGTTCTTACCATCATTCTTGGCATGTGGGAGTCAATACATATTGACCTTTTCAACAAAAGGTCTCCATAGCTTATTTGTGCTCCGTTCCACACATTTGGAAGATTGTTTCAAAACAGATCCCTAAATCCAGCTAGACCAGTTCACAAGACAGGGCAGATTCAACATATGCCGTATTTAATTAGAAAAATACTGAGTTCAATAATCCTCAAACCCCACCTCCCTTTCCCCTCTTAATCCAAGTAAATTACACTTTTGATTTCCTGGATTAGAAACAAATAGAAGAGATGCAAAAATCAACATCTGGTCCAAATGCAGCCAAATGGCCTCTCCATCCATCCTGTGGTCTACAGATAGAGAAGATCCCTCCCGTTTCATGTTGAAACTCTTTCCTTTTCTATTTCCCTCCTTCCAAAACCATTCAGTGGTTTTAGAAGGTTTCATTCTAAACCATTCACTAGCTTCAAAGGAAGCTTCTTGGGAGATTCAGGGTTTTTGAAACTCATCTCTGAGAAAAAGAGACTTGGAATAGAATAACAGAGTTGGAAGGGACCTTGTAGGTCATATTATCCAACTCCCTGCTCAAGCAGGAGACCCTAAATTATTTCTGACAGATGGCAGTCCAGCTTCTTCTTGAAAGCTTCCAGTGCTGAAGCTCCCAGAACTTCTGAAGGCAACTTCTGTTCCATTGGTTGATTGTTCTCACTGTCAGAAAATTTCTCTTTATTTCCAGGTTGTACCTCTCCTTGATCAGTTTCCATCCATTATTCCTTGTCTGGCCTTCAGGTGCTTTGGAGAATAGGTTGACCCCCCCTCGTCTCTGTGGCAGCCCCTCAAATATTGGAAGACTGCTATCATGTCACTCAAAGTCCTTCTTTTCATTAAACTAGACATGCCTAGTTCCTGCAACCGTTCACTGTATGTTTTAGCTTCTAGTTGCTTAATCATCCTGGTTGCTCTTCGATGCACTGTTTCTAGAGTCTCAACATCTTTTTCATAGTATCATGACCAAAATTGGTCTTACTAAGGCTTTATAGAGTGGTAAATGCACTGCCCCCTCCCTGAAAAAGTCACACCTATGCAACAATAGATTTTTACAAAGCGTCCAGAGTATCTTCTTATTCTTATGTACAGCAAACCTTGATCAGAGTTTTTTTTTTTATAGCAGTGCTTCTCAACCTTGGCAACTTTAAGATGTGTGGACTTCAGGTCCCAGAATTCCCTAGCCAGCTATGTTGGCTGGGGAATTTGGGACTTGAAGTCCATGTTTCTTAAAGTTGTCAAGGTTGAGAAGCACTTGGATTTTATTTTATTTTATTTTATTATTTATTAAATGTATATGTCACCTAAATACTATAAAAATTCCAGGGCTGTAGGGCTATGGAGTGGGGTAGGATTCAAAAATTTTAGCAACCAGTTCTTTGCCCGGTTGCTGGGTAGGTGTGGCCATGGTGGGCATGGCCTACTCGGTTTCCTGCACCACATCAGGGAGGGGGGAGCATTTTCACCCTCCCCAGGCTCTGGAGGCTTTCGTTGAGCCTCCGGGAGGGCGGAAATGGCCTCCCCTGGGCTCTGGAGGCCAGAAACGGGCCTGTTTCCAGACTTCCAGAACTTCCGGGAGGCCCATTTTTTTGCCCTCCCCAGGCTCCTGGGGCTTTTCTTGAGCCTCCAGGAGGGCGGAAATGGCCTCCCCTGGGCTCCGGAGGCCAGAAACGGGCCTGTTTCCAGACTTCCAGACTTCCAAGAGTCCCTCCCAGAGCCTCCGTGCAGGCCCTGCACTTACCTGGCATCCAAAACAGGCTGTGTGGAAACTCCTGGGAGGGGAGGAGTGGGGTGGGCAGGACCAACCAGTCCTTGCAACTACTGGTTCGGCAAACCAGATGTAAAATTAGCATCTGGTTCGCCCAAACCGGTCTGAACTGGCTGAATCCCACCCCTGGCTATGGAGAAGAAATATCATTCGGTAGAATAATTCACAAAAGCAAAAGAAGGCAAACTTAGTGGGGAAGTGTTAAAATGAACAAACGAGAGCCAGAAAGACCTGAATTCAAAGCAATCGAACCCAAAAGCTCACTAGATAATTTTCACCTTTCCCCAGTCACTGTCTTTTTGATCAATGTATTCTGTAGCATCGTTGTGAAAGTAAATGAGAGAGTTTGTAGTAGATCTATGGTTGCAGTTGTAAAGGTTTTTTTTTCCAGATTAAGAAGACAATGTTTTATAGACATAGACGAGAAGATAATTCTAGAGTAAACACTGACCTGGATCTGTCCTTTTTTCTTATGGAGCAGAGTCAGCTTGAAGCCATAGACTTCCACAGATACTTGCTTAATGACTGAGACTTTTCCATTCCCCCAAGGCTCATTTACTGCTGTGATAGTAAAGGGAGTCAGATCAGTCATGCTTTCGACGGTAGTCTTAGCCAGGATGTAAGAGCAGGTGCCTTGGAAATTAAAGGCAACTCCATCAAAAGAGAGATAATGAGGATCTCCGGAACACGAGCAAGTGGCGGAACTCATTGGATGGCATTTTTGGATTCCGTCCATCGTCTTGCATTCTTCATTGGGCCCACAGGAGAATTTGTGGCAGGTGACAGCTCCACCGCCTTGGCACGTACACTTCACATTGCAGTTACTGGTTGGGTAGAAGGTCTCTCCACTCATATAATATCGGTCCTGATAAGTGCAACCACACTGATGCAGAGGGACACAACGGTCACCACTGAGGACAAAGCCTTCATCACAGACACACCCTTCTGTGCAGTAAGTGGAGCAGGGCAGAGACGAATAGAGACTATCACACGTCTGCTGACAGCTTCTGGAACAGAGTTCATAATGGCTGTTTGGTGGACATGCAAATTCTGAAATGGGAAAATAAGAAAAGATATTGACCATCTGTTTATAAGTTTGGTTCCGGTGCTTCCCTTGTTTTTCTCCAATCCAAGTAGCCTTCCAGACGTGTTCTGAAATCTGGGAGAAAGACAGAGGGAAAGTGGATCTAGACCAGGTGTTCCCCAACCTATAAGCGTTCAGATGTGTAGACTTCAATTCCCAAAGTTCTCATCAATGGCTATTCTGCTTGGAAAATTTTGGGATCTGAAGTCTGCACATCTGGAAATTGGCAAGTTGGGAGACACTGGAACAGACCATTTGTTATAACCCCAATATTTCAAATATAAAATAGTGGGAAACCAATGAGCTAAAGCATCATGGAGAAAATTTATCTATGGAGGTTGCTAAGAGTTGACCACAATTTGATGATGCTTAATTAATCAATGAGTTGAAATTTCTCAGGAGACTTTCTCCTTAGAAAAAAAAAAATAGAGATGTTTATTTAATCCTGTATTTCTCTATATAGTTGTGTCATACATGGAGGGGGGGTAGCTATATTTCCCCCACCATGTACGAGAACTATTTTAACAACCTGCCAAAAATGATCCTAACACAATATCTTCTCCTGCTATGGAATTTCATTGACGTGGCCTATCAATCAATTAAATCTGGTTTCTCCAATCCCAAGCAGGGGTGGGTTGCTGGGGGTTTGCAGGGGTTCAGGAGAACCTCTAGCTAAAATTCTGTGCAATTCAGAGAACCCCCAAATCCCACTCCTTGCTGGCCCCGTCCACCCTACCCCCCCCAGGAGTCCCCACACAGCCCGTTTTGGATGCAGGTAAGTGCAGGCTGCACGTTGAGGCTTGGGGAGGGCAAAAAATGGGCCTACTGGAAGTTCGGGAAGGCCGGAAACAGGCCTCTGGAGTCTGGGGAAGCCATTTTTGCCCCCTCAGGAGGCTCAAGGAAAGCCTCCAGAGCCCAGGGAGGGCAAAAATCCTCCCCCATGTGATGCAGGAGACCACGCCCACCATAGCCACACCCACCCAGCAACCGGGCAGAGAACCCCTTGCTAAAATTTTTGAAGCCCACCCCTGATCCCAAGCCAATACATTCTAACTACTTTTGATTGACCAACTTGAAATTAGTGGCCATCATGACCCAGGCTCAGGACCCGGATTCTGAATCTAAATCTTAAATAAGCTGTTCCAGCTAAACCTGTAGAAAGCCAGCCTCAAGAGACACCAAGCTAAGAGTCACAAGAAGCTGATCAAAACCAGGCATCACCTGGGACAGCTGGAGCAATCAAATGAGGAAGATGTAAGGCTTCCTAGCCCCTGAACCAGTGGTGGGTTCCTCCCGGTTCGGCCCGGTTCGCGAGAGCCGGTAGTGGTGACAATATGACGTCACCGAACCGGTTCTCTGTCTTCGGGAGCTGGGCCCTCCCGCCCGCCCCGGCGTTATGCCGACCTTATATTTCTTCTTTTTTCAGCCAGCTGAGAGGTGCGGCAGAGCGGATTGCCGCATCTCAGCTGGGCAGATTTGCAATGCGCTTGCGCAAAGCACACGTTTGGCGCGCAGGCAAGCAAACCGAGCATGCGCACGGTGATCACGCGCAAAGCACGTGACCGAAGAGGCGATCAGGCGCAAAGCATGCGCACAAAGAGAACTGGTAGTAAAGCCGGTTAGAACCCACCCCTGCCCTGAACCTAGTGAGTGGAGAAGAAAACAGAGCAAAGAAATTCTCTGAGGCTACTTGTCAAACAAAGAAGTAAATCTCTTGATAAGTGAGCCCATGGAATCTTAGAATAGAATAGAATAACAGAGTTGAAAGGGACCTCGGAGATCTTCTAGTCCAGCCCCCTGCTTAGACAGGAAACCCTATACCATTTCAGACAAATGATTATCCAATCTCTTCTTAAAAACCCACAACTACTGGAGGCAAGTCGTTCCACTGATTAATTGTTCTGTCGGGAAATTTCTCCTTAGTTCTAAGTTGCTTCTCTCCTTGATTAGTTTCCACCCATTGCTTCTTGTCCTGCCCTCAGGTGCTTTGGAGAAGAGCTTGACTCCCTCTTCTTTGGGGCAGCCCCTGAGATATTGGAACACTGCTCTCATGTCTCCCCTAGTCCTTCTTTTCATCAAACCAAACATCCCAATTCCAGCAACCATTCTTTATATATTTTAGTCTCCAGTCCCCTAATCATCTTGGTTGCTCTTCTCTGCACTCTTTCTAGAGTCTCCACATCTTTTTTACATCCTGGCGACCAAAACTGGATGCAGCATTCCACTTGCGGCCTTATCAAGGCATTATAAAGTGGTAATAACACTTCATATGATCTTGATTCTATCCCTCTGTTTATGCAGCCTAGAACTGTGTTGGCTTTTTTGGCAGCTGCTGCACACAGCTGGCTCATATCTAAATGGATGTCCACTAGGACTCCAAGATCCCTCTCACAGTTACTACTATTGAGCAAGGTACCACCTATAGGGTACCTGTGCATTTTGTTTTTCTTGCCTAAACGTAGAACCTTGCTTTTTTTCACCATTGAGTTTCATTTTGTTAGATAGCGCCCCATCTTACTTACTCCAGTCTATGTGGATCCTCCAAATATAAATGGTCATTCTTACAACTTGGCAGGCAGATGCATAAGCAGCGATGGTGTAGCCGAGAACATATGTTTGACTGTTGGATGTGCAGTAGTCAGACACACAGTCGAGGAAAAACATCTCGGGGTTGATTTTGCCATGGCATTCCCTAAATGGGCCATTCTTGTCCACCAGGAGTCCACATTCGGTGCTAATGCTTCGTTGCTTCTGGGCCGCTCTCTGCAAGTCTGGACATACCTTTGGGCTGACTTCTCCACAGCCAGGGAACTTGGCCACCTTCCAGAGTTGGCCAAAAGCTATCAGTTTGGTGACTTGCCCATTACTAATCAATGTCATGTCATCTTTTTTATCTCCGTTGAAGTTGCCACAGAGTCCGCTCAAAGCACCTTGGTAAGTAGTTGGCACAGAGACCGTGAGATGGCTCTGCCAGTTGAAGGTCACCACGAGGCCAAAATCTGCTTGGATCACAGTGCCCCAACCCTTTTGGTAGATAATAATTTGATCTGGGCCCAACTTGTAGGGCAGGTTGGTGAGCTGGCCATTAACCTGGAAGCAGAGAGATAGGAGAAGGAACAATGATGAAGAACCACCTGTCAGAAATTTGGCTCTAAGTCAATCACAGATGTTGAAATGGACAAGTTTTTTTTTCTTCAGGTGCTTAGAAAATAAGTGTCTAATTTTGTTTTGATTTAAATCAAACAGGGGGACTGGAGGCTAAAACATATGAAGAATGACTGCAGGAATTGGGTATGACTAATCTGATGAAAAGAAGGACTAGGGGAGACATGATAGCAGTCTTCCAATATCTCAGGGGCTGCCACAAAGAAGAGGGAGTCAAGCTCTTCTCCAAAACACCTGAGGGCAGGACAAGAAGCAATGGGTGGAAGCTAATCAAGGAGAGAAGCAACTTAGAACTAAGGAGAAATTTCCTGACAATTAGAACAATTGATCAGTGGAACAGCTTGCCTCCAGAAGTTGCAAATGCTCCAACATTGGAGGTTTTTAAGAAGATGTTGGATAACCGTTTGTCTGAAGTGGTGTAGGATTTTCTGCCTAAGCAGGGGGTTGGACTAGAAGACCTCCAAGGTCCCTTCCAACTCTGTTATTCTAAATTCTTAATGAAAAACCATTTTAAAAATTTGAGTAGTCTATGTATGTACTTATTTCCAATATTTTTATGCATTTCTTTTTCCTTTCTCTGTTTATCTTTCTTTCCTGCCCCTTCTCATTTTTCCTTTTATATTTTTTCCTAATTTATAATATATATGATATATGATATGATATGATATGATATGATATGATATGATATGATATGATATGATATATATATATATATATATATATATATATATATATATAGAGAGAGAGAGAGAGAGAGAGAGAGAGAGAGAGAGAGAGAGAGAGATGGAGATATATATATATCTCTCCATAAGATATCTCCATAAGATTCAACTTACCGTAATTCTGCCCAGAGATGCCCAGCTGACAGTGATCTCCAGGTTGTAGATTTCAATCTTGACTACCCTTTTAGGAGTCCCAGACCAGCCCCCTTGAGGAGAATTCTGGACCAAAATCTGGAAGTCAACCAACCCTTGCCTCTTCTGACTCAGCCCAGCAAATCTGTAGAAACAGGTGCCCTGGAAGTTAAAATTGTGGCCATCAAAGCCATGATAATGGGAGTGGCCGAAGGCAGAACAGGTCCCGTAGCTCATAGGATAGCAGTTCTGGATGCCGTTCTTGACCTGACATTGCTCCTTCTCGCTGCACTTGGTGTCCTGGCATTTCACCTTCTTGGTCTGTGGGTCGCAGGTGCAGCGCTTTGTGCATGTGGTGTCTCCCCAGAACTCCTCATTGGGAGCCAAGAGGCGACCCTCAAAGAGGCAGCCACAGGAAGCTCGCGGGATGCACTTCCCAGCATCCATCACAAAGCCATCCTTACACTGGCAAGACTCCACACATTGCGAAGAAGAACAATAGGGTGGAAGAGCTTCATTGCTGCAAGAGGTAGGACAGACCGACCCACAGATTTTATAGACGCTGTTCTCGGGGCAGGATAAAGCTATGGAAAAGAAGGAGAGGAAAAATGGTAAAAATGATGACAGTTTATAAAGATTAAAAAGGTAAAGGTTCCCCTCGCACATATGTGCTAGTCGTTCCCGACTCTAGGGGACGGTGCTCATCTCCGTTTCAAAGCCGAAGAGCCAGCGCTGTCCGAAGACATCTCAGTGGTCATGTGACTTGCATGATTAAACACCATAGGCGCACGGAACGCTGTTACCTTCCCACCAAAGGTGGTCCCTATTTTTCTACTTGCATTTTTTATATGCTTTCGAACTGCTAGGAGCTGTTTGGTCCAGAAGCTGGAACAAATAACGGGAGCTCACCCCGTTACGCGGCACTAGGGATTTGAACCGCTGAACTGCCGACCTTTCTATCGACAAGCTCAGCACCTTAGCCACTGAGCCACTGCATCCCTTACATTTTATATAATAAAATTATTTTTTTTTAAAAAAAAAGATTTAAAAAATTAATAAAAAACAATTTGGAGGACCAAAAAAAAAAAAAAAACCTGAGAAAAGAAGGAGAGAAAAAATTGTAAAAATACATTTTTAATTAATACATTACTTCTTTGATAGGATTCCATTTTTGGAGTACCCACATGCCCAAAAGCTTTAATTTAACTAAATTTTCTAGGACAGGAGTCCCCAACCCCGGGATACGTTGCAATACCGCTGGCAGCCCATTTGGAACCGGGCCACGGAAGTGGCGTGTGAGCATGCTTGCACAAGCTATCATGGGTGCACCTAGATACACCCACATTACACCAATTCTCCGCGAGCTGCACTGGCTCCCTATTGGTCTCCAGGCACAATTCAAGGTGTTGGTTATTACCTTTAAAGCCCTACATGGCTCCGGGCCAGGGTATCTTCGAGACCACCTTCTACCACATAGCTCCCAGAGATCAGTAAGATCCTACAGAGTTTTTTTTTTTTTTTTTAAATTTGATTTATATGCCGCCCTTCTCCGGAGACTCAGGGCGGCTTACAATGCGTTAAGCAATAGCCTTCATTCTTTTGTCTATTTTATACAAAGTCAGCTTATTGCCCCCACAAACTGGGTCCTCATTTCACCTACCTTAGAAAGGATGGAAGGCTGAGTCAACCTTGAGCCTTGGAGAGATTCGAACCAGCAGAAATTGCAGGCAGCTGTATTAATAACAGGGTGCACTAAACCACTGTACTATCAAGGAGAGTTGTTCTCCTCCAGGACCCGTCAGCTAAACAATGCCGGCTGGCGGGGCCACGGGGGAGGGCCTTCTCTGTGGCTGCCCCGGCTCTCTGGAACCCGTTACCTCCTGAGGTCTGGACCATCCCCACCCTATTGGCCTTCCGCAAAGAGGTGAAGACCTGGCTTTTCTGGCAGGCCTGGGGCCATTGATCTCGCTGTTGCGATCTTGTGAGATCTGGCCATGAATGGTGTGAATGGGTTTTAATGTTTTAATTTTTAAATGTTTTTATAATGGGTTTTTTTTAAAATGCATTGTAAGCCGCCCTGAGTCTCTGGAGAAGGACAGCATATAAATTGAATTAATAAATAATAAAGAAATAAACTCCACTTGCGCGAGCAGCGGATGAGGGCATGCACACATGCTACTCACACGCATAACCTGGTTAACCTCTCTCCCTGGTCCACAAAGCTGGAAAGGTTGGGGAATCACAACTCTAGGACACAAGTTCCTAACTTTTCTGAGCTGTAAGCAGACTTAGAATTTTGAGAGCGTCCATTCTGTGCTTTCCTAAAGTAACTAACGGGGAGTCTGTCCATTCCCCAGATCAAATCTTCTTAGCAAGGTAATAATTTCCCTGACTCCTGCTTCCCATGAGCTTTTACTGCAAAATCAAACAGTGAGGTTTTTTTTTAAAAAAGTGTGGCATACTTCACACGCTACACTAGATAACTGCTGGTGTTCTTAGCGTGAGGGTGATGGATGTGTACTGAGCTCAAAAGATAAAAATTAGGCAAAAGGGCAATCTCTCTCTTCCCGCCCCCCTCTTAAATCTCAAAGGGATGGAAGTCATTGACCATGAATGTTCCATTATTCCTCATTTTTGATACCTACTGATAAATTCGCCTCCGGTGACTTTGGGTAGCCTTTTCAAAAAGATATGGAAATGAATGGGCTAGTATGGGGAGAAATTAATTGAATTTGGCCTACAGTTACTGTAGCCACCCCACAAAAGGGAGAAAGACTGGGCAGGTTAAGTCTCTGTGAAGATGTTGTATTATTATATTTATCTCACTGTAAGGTAAAGTTTCAGGTCAGTTTTTCCCAACCAGGGCTCCTCTCAGGTATTCTAGACCACTGCCAGGCATGAAGAATCAGGACCACATGACAAGTTCCAGTTAAACTGATTTATTGCTCATATTTAAACTCAAGAATCTAGCCAGCTAATGGGTCAACGCTAAATTGGTGCTAAATAAGAATTAATGGAATTTATGAGGAGTTGAACAAAGAGGTGGGATTCACTTACTACTGGTTTACAAATGTGAGTGTGTGCTTGCATGTGCCACCTCTGCGCATGTGCATGTCCTTCTGCGCATACGCAGTAGTTGTGCATTACATCTGGGCGGGTGGGTGGAGTCTCCCGCAGTCACTGCTACCGGTTCACGCGATCCGGACAGAACCTGTTGAATCCCACCACTGGTTGGACATGCACCACTTGTGGGAATGTAATGATTCCAGTGTCAACTTGCAAAGCTTTCAAGTTGCCATGAGCAGGAGGGAGGGAGAACTGAAGTGAATTCCATACATTCTTTCTGACCGCAATCAGAAGGAGGGTGTTAGGTTTCACAGCCAGCCAAAGTGGGTAATTGGAGAATGTGATTTATGACATGGCCAGAGAGGAGGGGAGAGACAGGGTCATAGGGGAACGTAAATCTATGTGGGATCAGTCCTAACTGCATCTGAGTATTGCCAGAATGTTGCTCCTAATAAATGACTATATTTCCTTTGAAGTTTGGATCATGGCTCATGAATTAATTAGGGCATCTTTTGGAAACTTGACATCTAGGCTGATTATTTTCTTGATTCCGCCTCAGGCCTTTTACTACAACTACAGTTTCCATCAATCCATGATCTAGAGGAGGGGTGTCAAACTCAAGGTGCTTAATTCTGGTGTACTGTGCCACCCTGGAAACAGTGAAGGACATGCCCGCGGTGCCTCTGCCAGCAAAAACGGAGCTCGGGAAGGCTGCGTGCGACCCTCTCGAGCTCTGTTTTCACTGGCAGAGGGTTGCAGGAGGCTGTTGCAGCCGAAAACAGAGCTCAGGAGCCCGTTTTCACTGGCAGAGCACTCGGCCACCACAGGTGTCTCCAAGAGGAGTGATATTGAGCTAGCCATGGCCACCCCGGCCCCCGAGGTCAAACACAACCCTGATGCGGCCCTCAATGAAACCAAGTTTGACACGCCTGATCTAGAGTAAGATCCAGCAATATGGCTACTGTATGAGTTGTGAACTTCAACTCCCAGAGTTCCTGAGGCAGCCATGCTCTGGGCGTTGAAGTCCACAGATCATAAAGTTCCCATAGAAGCTGCCCAACCTTGATCTAGAAGAAAGCTACCATCAGCAAGGAATTCCTACTCACGGCATCCAACGAGGTTCCTCCAGTCTAAGACAACTCCACCTTCTTGCTGGCAGGCGTCCACATAGCTTTTCAGCGCTTGGCACAAAGCCTCCCTGTGTCCTTCATAGACGAAGAGGTCATAGGCACAATTTTCCACAAAGATGTCAGGCTCAACCAAAGAATGGCACTTGTTGAACGGGCCGCCTTTTGTACTGATCCAGCCACAGAAGGTTTCACCTCTGTATTTAGTGAGTTTTTCCTCGGTGACCTTCTTACATTCTCCATGGCAGTCACTCCAGCACATTGGGTCTCCATCCTCCACTTTCCAACTCTGCCCAAATTCCACAGGGCCCGGAGCCAAGGATCCACTGGGGGTCTTGAAGTCATCATCAGGTTTTCCATCATAGTCACCGCACAGGCCGCAAACATTCTCAAAGAAACTGCTGGAGATCTTCACTGCAAAGTTGCTGTTCCAGTTGTAGGCCACCCTCAGTGAAAAGTCCGTCTCTATGATGGCAGAAGTCCCGCTTTGGAAGAGCCATAGTTTATCTTTGATCAGGGAGACAGGCAGTCGGAAGCGCTGGTTATTCACCTGGGGCAATGAATGTGTTAAGAAGACATCAGAATCAGTGGTGAAATTCAAATCTTTTTCACTACCGGTTCTGTGGGCGTGGCTTGGCGGGCATGGGGTGGCTTGGCGGGCGTGGCTTGATGGGCATGGCAGGGGAAGGATACTGCAAAATCCCCATTCCCACCCCATTCTGGGGCCAGCCAGAGGTGGCATTTGCCGGTTCTCCGAACTGCTCAAAATTTCCGCTACCGGCTCTCCGGAACCTGTCAGAACCTGCTGCATTTCATCCCTGATCATAATATACTTTGAATATGGATACATTTAGGTATGGATGCAACTCAAAGGATGAACCACTGTTGAAAGGAAGAACATCCACACTTAGAAAACTACTCACCTATGCAAAATGCATAAGAAATTCCTTCCTTCCTTCCTTCCCTCCCTCCCTCCCTCCCTCCCTCCTTCTTTCCTTCTTTCTTTCCTTCCTTCCTTCCTTCCCTCTTCCTTCCTTCCTTTCCCTTTCTCCCTCCCGCCCCATCCCTCCCTCCCTCTTTCTTTCCCTTCCTCCCTCCCTCCTTCCTTCTTTCTTTCCTTCCTTCCTTCTCTCCCTCCTTCCTTCCTTCCCTCCTTCCTCCCTCCCTCCTTCCCTTCCTTTCCCTTCCTTCCTTTCCCTTCCTTCCTTTCCCTTCCTCCCTGCCTCCCTCCCTCTTCCTCTCCCTCCCTCCTCCCTTCCTTTCTTTTCTTTCTTTCCTTCCTTCCCCCTTCCTTCCTTCCTTTCCCTTCCTTCCTTTCCCTTCCTCCCTCCTCCCTTCCTCCCTCCCTCCCTTCCTTTCCCTCCCTTCCTTTCCCTTCCTTCCCTCCCTGACTTCATTATTTTTATAAAATAGTTTTTAATATTTTTAAATAAAATTTTTATAATTATAAAATAAAAATCAAAGTGGCAAACACACCTGATACACCTTCCTCGTCCTATTTTCCCCACAAGAACCCTGTGAAGCCAGTTAGGCTGAAAGCTTTCATGCCTAAGGCAGGATTAGAACTCACACTCTCCTGGTGAAATAATAAAAGACACCTACCCAGCTCTCGTGCCAAAGACAGGATTGGAACCATGCAAGAATGCCCAGAAAGAGAAGCATGTTCAATTCACACTGCACTTTACCATCCCAGAATGCAGATGAGAGAAAGTGCAATTTTGATCTCTTTAGATTGTTCTTTTTTAAATGGCTTCAGTTCTTACCCACAGAAAACTCGCACCTCGGGGGCAAATGTTCTAATCTAGCCTTCATTTAGAGCAGTTACTTTTTGGAAAAAGTGATGCTTTCAGTCATGTCATTTCATCTCTCCCGGCGGAATTTCATACGGGAAGGAAATTATAGGAAAAAAATAGAGCTCTTTAATGCTGTATCGTATTATCTGTCCATAGTTTCAAATATAGATGCTTCTTCTAACTAGAAATTCTAAGATTTCTACTTGGGTTCTTTGGCAAGGAATGCTATGCTCTGCTTGTGAGATTTCATCCCTATCGCTATTGTAGTACTAAAGACAATGGGTTTGGCTACTCCAAAGGAAAGAAGAATTAAGGGTGACATGATAGCAGTATTCCAGTATTTGAGGGGTTGCCACAAAGAAGGGGGATAACAGTAACAGAGTTACTGTTGGGACTTTGGAGGTCATCTAGTCCAACCCCCTGCTCACACAGGAGACCTGTACTAGGGATTCGAACCGCCGAACTGCCGACCTTTCCGATCGAGAAGCTCAGCGTCTTAGCCACTGAGCCACCTAGTCAGGTTAAATTATTCTCCAAAGCACCAGAGGGCAGAACAAGAATCAAGAAGAGAAGCAACCTGGAATTAAGGAGAAACTTCCTAACAGTGAAGATAATTAACCAGTGGAACAGCTGACCTTCAGAAATCATAGGCACTCCATCACTGGAGGTTTTTAAGACAGCCACTTGTCTGAAAAAGTATAGGTGTCAGCACTTCAAGCTGCATTCACTCCAGTGCTGACATAAGGGGGAGAAGATGGGGCATCTGGCAAGAGGACGTTTGACTCTTATTTTCCCTGGAGATGCTATCCCCTAGGAGATGGGATGAGAGGGGGGAAATTCCTTTGAGCTGAAACAGTAGATTACGGGCAGAGTGACTTGGAAGATGGCCAATGAGACGCAGAGGAGTGGAGAAAGGAAAGGGAGGGTTTCGGCCAGGAAGTCAGTGTTGGTTGCAACAGAGTCGGAGCTTGATTGTTGTGCTTAATAAATGAAAGATTTTTATCAAAGACTATTTGTTTGAAATGCAATTTGTTTGAGATGACATCGAAACCTGACAATAGGTTCTTCTGCTTGAACAGGGGGCTGGACTAGAAGACCTCCAAGGTCCCTTCCAGCTCTATTCTAGTCTATTCTAGTCTAGTCTAGTCTAGTCTAGTCTAGTCTAGTATATCGCAAATTGAATGATCACATTATATTCTTCTTGTTGTGCCCTATCCATCATTGGACATTGGCGATCATGTTGTCAATCCTATTTTTATCAACGAAAAAGTGCTGCTGAGTTTTGTCCAAACCAATCCCTTAGATTTTGAAGCCATGATGTTTTTCTTCTGCCTGGGCCTCGTTTGCCTTCAATCTTTCTCTGGAGGATTAAGTGAAGGATGGCGTATTTTTCCGGGTATCACATGTTCAAAATAGCAGACACTACCTGGCTTCCAGGTAGATACTTCTGCTGACTGCCAGGTGCCTGCAATTTGACAGTTCAAATCTCACAAGACTGCACAGCTGATCGTCAGAAATACCAGTTCGAGGGAATCGCTTTTTTTTTTTACTATAGGTTCGCCCAAACCGGTAGTTTTTATCACTACCGGTTCACACGAACCGGTGCGAACCGGTAGGATTTCGCCACTGCAAATACTCAAAGACATTTCAATGGTATTTATTCCTTGGTAACACAGAAGGTCTTACAGTAGGATCTGGACACTTGCATGCCTAATGAAGAGGAAGAAATGTTGTTCTCACCCGCACAAATCCATGTTCTTTCCTGGCTACTGCTATGTCATATCCGTAGACCTGGACTGTCACCAATCCAACGTAGGACACACTCTTCACGCCCCGATTCTCATTTTTGATGGTGACATGAAAGGCCGGGAGAGTTGTGTCTGGTCCACAGGTCTTGGCTACGGTATAGGTGCAGGTGCCCATGAAGTTATATTTCCGCCTGTCAAATGTCTGGTAATGGGGGTCACCCCAAGCCCAGCAAATGGCAGAAGATTGAGGCACGCACACCTTCTGGCCATTTTGCATTTTGTAAGTCTCCTTCTTCCGGCACTGTATAGGAGTACTCGTGGGAACAGGTTGAGCTTCTGGGTAACAAAAGACAGCATGTTATTTAATGGCCTAGATCCAGGCACCTGATGAACCATATTGTCCTGCTAAGTCTAGCCCATCCTACTTGGGATGGCAGGGAGAGCCTATTGTGGATCCCATCAGTCAAAGAACTCCAATTGTCGGGATCCAGAAGAGACTTCTCTGCTGCAGCACCCGCTCTTTGGAACATCATGCCCTCCAGGATAAGATCTGGCCACAACCTCTTGTCATTCCATAAGAGTCTAAAGACTGAGCTCTGCAGGTTGGCCAGGGAATCCAATGGAGCAGTTCAACTTGGGAGGTAGCTGCTAAATTGATAGCAGACACTACCTCCCCCACCCTCCTTTCTCTGCTCCCCACTCATCCATCTTTATTTTTTACTAATCATGTTGATTTTTCATTTTCTTTTTCCTTGGTTATTTTATTATTCTATACAGGGCTTTTTTTGCTTTGTTTAACTTCCTTTTTATGTCTTTAGGTTTTTTTCATGGTTGTGAGCAGGGGTGGGCTCCTGGGGGTTCGTCAGGGTTCGGCAATCCTCTAGCCAAGGATCATTGGGGTTCGGCGGATCCCCAAATGCCACCCCTGGCTGGCCCCGCCTTTCCCAAGAGTCTCCAGGCAACCCGTTCATCATTCAAGGTAAGTGCAGTGGTCGTGCAGAGGGTCTGGGAGGGCAAAAAATGGGCCTCCTGGAAATTCTGGAAGTCTGGAAACAGGCCTGCTTCCGGCCTCTGGAGGGCCCTCGGACCCCAGGGAAAACAGTTTTCGCCCTCCCGGAGGCTTGAGGAAAGCTTCTGGAGCCTGGGGAGGGTGAAAAACATCCCCCCCTGCTGTGGTTCAGGCAGCCAACTAGGCCACGCCCACCATGGCCACGTCCACCCAGCAACAGGGTGGCAAACCCATTGCTAAAGGATCTGAAGCCCACCCCTGGTTGTGAGCCACCTAGAGTAGCGCCATGGTGAGATGGGTGGCAAATAAATTTCATCATCATCATCATCATCATCATCATCATCGTCATCATCTTCCATCCTGTGATGATATCTGTAACACCATCAAACATCCAGACCTGTAGAGTTCCCAATACTCACCCTTTTGGCAGACTCCTACTGCTCCATAGCCACTCCTGGCAGCAATGCCCACACTTAGCAGGCTAAAGGGGCTGTCCGGATGTTGTATGGAACGGATATATTTTTCCTTCCCAAGTCGGTACTCACTCCACGAATATTCTGTTCCTGTAATCTGTTTCCAAGAGACGCCTCCCAAAGCGTCCCCATCCATGGTGAGCCCACCAGCAACAGCTGTCTTAGCAACAAGGAGAGCATAATTCTCAAAGCCCACCGGACTCTCAAAAGAATAGGATGTGCAGTAGCTGAGAACATTGGGGATGGTCAGAAATAAGGGGTGAAATATACGGCCCGCATGGGCACCGCCAGGAGAGAAGAAGAAGACCTGGATGCCAACGTTGGCTGTGATGTAGATGGGGCCTGATTGTGTGACTTTCAGCTGAAGCAGATGTCCAGACTTGAGGTCATAACTTTTATGGGTGCCACCAGAGACAGAGGTGACTGTGGTCATTTGGGAGGTTATTACATATGCAATATCATATTGAGTCTGGAAGGGAAGAGGAAGGATAAAGAAGGAGCGGCCCCAGCTTTGCACGGGTAACAGTTGCTCTACCACATGACTACATTGGGTTTTCATTTGGACACAGGTGTGCCCACTTAGCACTGCTACTGGGTGTGTTGCTCTGACAAGCGTGCCAGAGAGATCTTGGTAGCTCTGAAGCTGGATGGCTTCATAGGGTAGAAGGGTGAGATACAGCTTGCTGCCTGCAGGATAAATGCGGTCTTGGAACTTCACAGATCCCTTGAGATGGATCTCTACGTCGGTGTTCTCACGCCATGCAATGATGGAGAACTCTTTTGGAGTTTTGGAGATGGCTCCCATAGGTGTGAGAACATAATACACCATTCCGAGATTCTGGATTGGATAGAGAACCGTGGTGTCAGCTGAATTTCCCTTTTTGCTCAGGGCCACCACAGAGATATTTTGATTGGCTGTCACCAAGACAGTGTGGCAGGATTTAATGGTGCCAACCATCTCTACAAAAGTAGGCATCTTCACTACCACGGTCTCTCCTGGGGGAAGAGAGAATTTTTTCTGGAAGGTGGATTTATAGACCAAGACGTTAACTGTAGTGAGGGGAACGTTGCCAGAGATGACAAGCTTAAATTCAGCCTCTAAATAGCCTAACTGGTAATTTTGCATAAAGGCAGTGATGAATTCCTGGCCGATAGGTGCTACAGCATGGAGACCTACAAGGAAAGGAAAACACAGAAAAAATGAGGATGGCCAGGTAGCAAAACCAAGCAGCACATGTGAAGGTTTGCATAACCCAAAATCAGGGGTGAAATGCTACCAGTTCGCTCCAGTTTGGGCAAACCGGTAGTAAAAAAAACCCTACCGGTTCGATTGAATCAGCAGTTTAAAAAAGCTACCGGTTCCTCTGAACCGGTAGTGCCGATGATCAGCTGTGCAGCGGGGTTTAACTTTGCTAGAAAGCAGGATTTCCTATTTTCTAGCAAAGCTAAATTGTGCGCCACAGCTGATCCCCCCCCCTCGCTGTTCTACTTACCTTACCAAGCCTCCTTTTGGCACATACTGCACATGCACGGGCATACAGCACGCACCAAACGGAGGCTTGGGAAGGTAAGTAGAACAGCAGGGGGGGGATCAGCTGTGCAGTGCAGTTTAGCAAAGCTAAATCGCTCACCACAGCTGTTCCCCCCCTCGCTTCTACTTACCTTCCCAAGCCTCCTTTTGGCACGCACATGCAGAGCGCATGTTCGGTGTGCACTGCGCATGTGCGGCCAGCAAACCGGTAGCAAACCGGTTCAGATTTCACCACTGCCCAAAATGCCCTTTCATTGAATGGGCTCATACAACATGCTTAACCATATCAGGTGAAAATTCTAGTTCCTCCTTTTACACAAGAGCTAAGCTTGCTTAACATTAACCATTGTTACTTCAGGGAGGGGCAGATTTTGTTGTGTGAACCCATTCCATTTAGTTTGTTGATGGTTCAAGTTATCATACAAACCTCCAACATGAGTTAATTTAGAAATCTGGTTGAGTTTAGTCACTGAATACAGATTTTGCAAAAAAAAAATAGAGATTGACAAAATGGCCTCTACTGTAGAAGCGTCCAGTTTTGGCAACTTTAAGACTTGTGGTCCAATTCCCAGAATTCATCAGCCAGCATGTGGACTTCAACTCCCAGAATTTTTTTTTTTTTAATTTGATTTATATGCCGCCCTTCTCCGGAGACTCAGGGCGGCTTACAATGTGTTAAGCAATAGCCTTCATACTTTTGTATATACCTGCTTAGTAAGGCTTTCGGCCCCCCCTAAGCGGTGTTCTTTTTCATACAAAGTCAGCTTATTGCCCCCATAAACTGGGTACTCATTTAACCTACCTTAGAAAGGATGGAAGGCTGAGTCAACCTTGAGCCTGGCGAGATTCGAACCTGCAGAAATTGCAGGCAGCTGTGTTAATTACAGGGTGCATTAAACCACTGTACTACCAAGGCTCTTCTTCCCTGGGAATCAAAGTCCACAAATCCTAAAGTTGCCAAGGTTGGATGCCACTGACTCACTGGTGAAATTCAGCCGGCTCTATCCGGATCGCGCGATCCGGTAGTGCCTGCAACGGGAGGCTCCGCCCACCCGCCTGGACGTCATCCCTTCCCATTTTTGACCCTCTGTGCATGTTCAGAAGGCTCTGCACATGCGTGGAGGAGGCGCGCGTGCTCAGATTTGTAAACAGGTAGAGAAAGTAAGTGAATACCGCCTCTGCATTGGCCTACTGTAAACCTCTCAATATCTGGGGTGTAAATTAGTCCCATCACCCCCAAAGCTGTCACACATTTATAATATTGATATGACAGAAAGGAGAAATTATGAAATACTTGAGGAACAATTACAGCAACTGCATTTAACTGAAATTGAATCAAGCGAGTTTTTGTTCTGTTTTCATCCATTTCTTCAGCCAAGACGCGTGTACTGTTCTGAAATGCAATCCCTAGTATGCTATTCAACATCCTCAGTCAAAACTAGATTTGACATTCCTGGCTTAAGATTGGTGTTTTCAAGCTGTTGCATGGCCAGTAGTTCCAAAACTGGATAAATAGTCCTCAGATTGCTGTTTTAACTAGGTCTTAACTCATGGGTTTTTAATAATAATAATAATAATAATAATAATAATAATAATAATAATAATAATAATAATAATAATAATAATAATAATAA